TGTTCATCATCAAGAGATACCAAGGCCCCCTCGGGGGCACCCATGTTATTGTTCAATAACAACAATTGGCTTCGATTTTATTGAAATTATAGTGTGATTTGCATATCAACCCTGCTGCTCCAAGAATAGATGATTTAAAATGAAGTATCTAAACTATTTTAGGCTTTAAAAAGCAGTATAGATCATCAATGGTTATTGAGTCATATAACAACTTACAAATGTTATGGTCTGCAAATATCCTTCAGAGCTGTGCCTTTTGGTTAGGCCACAAGTAATCTTCGAACTTCTGATAATTCTCAGCACCTCAGGAGTTGGCATCGGCGGCTGAACTTTTCGTAGTGATTGAAGAAATGTTCGTTCATAGGAGTATCTACACTGTGACAGCAACAAATGCAAACTGCCAATCAGAGAGCTACCCTCATTTCCGAACATTTTGTTTATCCGTCTGGAATCTGTGGAATCGCTGATGTTACTTCAAATGAGAATAATCTTATTAGTGCGGTTATACCAAGGTTGGTGTGCCCCAGCATTCATGAGGTGTAAGCTATATTAGTGCCAGAGCTGAAAAAAAAAAATTATTCTTTACATAGCGGTGTGGCAGTTCCCAGATAAAATTGTAGAAATATAAGGAAATTAACGAAAGTACGCATTTCCACGAGTAGCAGCTCTTCATTTAATGTAGAATTTGTTCCCTTTTGACTGCATCAGATGTTATGTAGGGTTGTGTGGAGCTGAATGGAATACATACAAATTTAATTATTAAGAATATCCATCAACACAAAAACCTATGAAGTAATGAAATCTGGCAGCATCGCACAGTCTTTGATGTTTGGTCCCATTTTCTTCATCTACACCCAAAAATTAGGGACTGCAATCATTTCTTCATCAAAAACAGCTGGTGTAGTTGAGGTAGAGAATCTACTATGATCACTAACTGGTACCAAGTTGTTGTTATCATTTTTGTAATTTCTCTGCTAAAACTCGTTTTCACTTTCAATCGTTTCTTCAGCAAGACCTGGTATGTACATCTGTTTATCGACACTGTCCATGTCCAATGTTGGAACAGCACCTTGCAGCAATCCTTTATTCTGGAGATATGGAAATCATTTGACCATAAAGTGGTTATGGCTTATCACTTTGTTCAACTGTTCTTCCTCTACAAAATATCAAGAAAACGCGGTTAGAAGTGAAAGAAGATAATTTTTCAACACTCAAAAAGATTGGCTTGCAAGAGTTTTCAATCCCTATTTTGCCACGTTGTGTTTGTTGTATGGGATAATAGAAAAATATGATGTTTTCTTTATTTCTGGTAGAAATTATGCTGTTTTTGTATGAACATCTTCGCTGCCCACTACTACAAAATCAAGGATTTAAGAAAGCAACTTTCTTATTTACAACCGAACACCCAGGAATGATGCTCACTTTATTTTTTGAAAATACTGCTACCAGATGATGTGGAGAGTTTAGCCGTGATTGCCACTCGAGAACATATTGTTAGGTATTCTTAAATGTAAAATAGTCTACCGATTTCTGAGGTTGAAAAACATTTGTTTATGAAAGCAAATTTCCCAAATACCAAGTGGAAAATGACATTGACGCTTATGGTGTACGTTGACATTTAAACCTTGTGATGAGCAAGCTTATTTTGAATTAGCTCAGATTAACTGCATCTAACATTTGATTTGGTAAAAATTAACTGAATCTTTTTATTTTAATTGGGTCAGCTTTAATTTTTCCATCATTACAATACCGTATATTTAGCGCCATCTATTAATAAAGATATTAAGCTACATTATAATAAGGTAGAAATCTTTACGATGAATATAATGGAATTATATTAGCTATATCAATGATCACTAGATGACGCTTTAAGTTAGTTTTCTAATTTTCTAGATAGTCCGCCTTGATTGGTTTAATTACGAATTAATTGACCAGTCAACATAAATTTAAAATGATTTTTATTTTTGTAAATAACATGAACCAAATTTCAAAAATACGATATGTATATCACCTTGATGCAATATTGTGATGGCAATGACTAACGTAGAGAATCCGACACAGAAATTTTTTAGAGGCTCTTTTAGGATTGAAAGTTCGGCTGGAGGAACCCAAGGCAGAGTTTAGGAGATAATGTAGTGTAACATTGGGTCTGACGTACATCAGTGGGTCGAGAGCTTCTCAGATCCCCTCAGGGCATACTCGTACCTAGTAACGTTCCGGAAATAAATAAACATCCTGCCGTAATGGTTAATACTTTAATTCCGGACATCTGTTTTACGTCTGAGAAATATACATACCAGAAATGTTTGAGGAAATTTTAAGGGATCTTAATTGGTGAAAACGTATGAAAAGGGTTAGTAGTAAATGGATCGTGCGAGAAAAACATGGGTGTACTGTTTCACGTATATGACCGAGATAAATGTTTGTTTTCTAGGCAAATCGGGTGCGTAGATTCCGAATTTGATGTCAATACAGTGCCAGCATTTATTGCTAGCCCCGGAAAAGTAGTTGTCAATTTTTCACACTAAATCGGGACTGATGACACCTTAGAATGTTTTCACCATAATATTCGTATTCAGCGCCCCAAAGTACCCCATTGTGCAAAGCTTTGCTTTCATGTAGCCATCGATAGTAAAAATTGGTTTTTAGCATCTTAAAGTCGCAAAAACGCCTAGTTTTCCAATTTTAAGTAATTAGATCTACATCATAAACGGGATCACATACACGTAAAACGACCTCGGATTCGATATTGGCAGCCCAAAATACGTGGAATAAGAGTCATTTGAACCGCATTTAAACATGTAATTACCATGTATAGGGGTATTCTTACCAGAAAGTCACAAAATGGGTCAGTCGGGAACGTGAACGCAACATATCTTATAATACGCTTTTTGGGTCGCTGAAACCGAATCCATGGCCCACCCCGTCCAAAAATGCCTCGTTTTCAAGATACCGGCAAGAATTCAACTTTGTCAAAAAACGACTAATAAAAAAATTCTAAAAACATGTAAAACGACCTCGGATTCGATATGGTCAGCCCAAAATACGTGGAATAAGGGTCATTTGAACCGCATTTAAAGCATTTTAACATATAATTACATACCAAAAAGGCACAAAATGGGTCAGTCGGGAACGTGAGCGCAACATGTTTTATAATACGTTTTTTGTGTCGCTGAAACCGAATCCGGGGCATATTCAGTCCGGAAATCCTTCGTTTTCGACATACTGGTAAAAATTCAATGTTGTCAAAAATCGACTAATAAATAATATCTGAAAACTGTCGCGCGTCTATGATCGAGATGGATGCTTGTTTTCTGGGTAAATCGTGTGCGTAGACTCCGAATTCGATATCAGTTCAGCGCTATGATTCACGGGTATTTCTTGTGGAGCGATTTGACAGGTTTTGGCAACACGTTAAAAAAATTGATACCATAAAAATTGGACAAGTTTCTGGTTTTGTCAAGGCGATCTCTAGGCAAATATTATCTTTATTGCGAGTTTCATAACAGTGAAAATGACTGTGAGTAGAGAAGAGACTACAGTTGCGTTTCACGTACAACAAGCAACTCTAAATATGACTACATGGTACAGACAGTATCCCGCACTTGACGAATTCAACCCTGCAGAGATCTCTATATTTCAAGCTCGACATGTAACGGATACATCGCATTTGCATACCAAACACTTTTTGCATGTGTGGAGAGTATCTCCACACCAAAAATGCATAGGTTAGTTTGGAGAGGAAACATGCATGATAATAGGTCAACAACACTTTGTCAGACGCAAACCATCCACAGCATAACGAGCATGTACCTCCCAAGTGAGAGTACGGCCAATATGCACGACTGCTTAGGCTGAATATCAGCGACTGAGTCTTATCAGCATTTGGTGACAGCAAACCGATCAAGAAGGTCGGACCTGAATAATGTGTCATCCTTGACGAGGTTATTTGTACATACATCAGAACTTGTCAAAAAGTGGTGTCATCAGCATATAAAAACAATCAACTATTGCGCATCTCTGACAAGCTATTAGGAATGACATTGATATAATTATAATAAGAACAGCAGTGATCCAAGAACGGATCTTTGAGGAATTCCGTGGACTACCGCTTCGGTGTCACAAGTACAGCCATTAAAATACACTAGTTGTGTCGGATAGATATGATACTAAGATCTTAGTACAACTAGGTTGAATGTAGTAAAATGTTATTTTTTTCAATAAAATAGTATACTGATCACAGTCGAAAGCCTTTGACAGATCGAAAATGTCTGCTTTGATATGCGAACGATATTCAAAGCCTTCGTTAACGAGATCTATAAGGTTGTCATTAATTGATGCAGTCGTTGATCCTGTTGCTTCTAAATTCAAATTTCCTGTTCAACAGGTGGTTCGACTCAAGGTGATAGCTAAGCTGATCCTTCAACAGTATTTCGAAAATCTTCTTTGGAAAATACGAGATCAAAGAAATTGACCGATGGTTGGAGAGGTCATCAACCGATTCGGTTTTAAATAAAATTAAATTCATCGGTGTCTTTATCATTTTGGAATTGAAGTCGTGGATATCAGTATTTTAACACCCTAATATGATTGAATGAAATTTCTTTAAAGGAGAAACAATCTATGTTTTTGGTGTAAACTATGTAATCTAAGGCATCACGATTGGATAGAGGAATGCTATCGATAATTTTCTGCGATATGCTTGTAAAATAAGAATTAAATTCGCTAGCATTTAATGTATGGAACGATACTACTCTTGAATGCCCTTAAGCAGGCTTGGTGTTTTGAGATCCACAGACGTTGCATTTGATGGGGAGATATGTTTTGCATTTGCACGCAGTGTGATTTCCTTCACTCAAATAGCGTCTAATTGGGGTTGCCCAATATTCAGTTTTGTTGGTGAATAGCAGACAGACTGATCTTACACTCACTCTCTAAAGACATAGTTCAGCTCTCATAGACAAGTATTAAAACTGTTTTGCAATCTAACAGAAACACCGTTAAATAAATTAGACATTTATTGTCTTTCTACGTCATCATATTTAACAAAATATAATTTGAAACATGAGTACATGCTGTCGTTGACTGTCTGTGTGTGTGTGTAGTTGTGTGTGTGTGAGACTGTATTTAAGAAAGTGGGATGATAAGCAGCCTCAGTATCAGTGTTTGTCGTTCAACTGCCGCCGCCACCGCCTCCCAGTTCGTCTTCGTATTGCTTCCTGAAGCAGTCGCCCACCGGAAAGAAGTCCCAACATCGCTGTTGATACATGTTCCATACGTACGTCTCTTGGCCAGTGTATTCTGTGTCCGGCTTGTTGATCAGGTGCATCAGGAAGAACCTATCAACACGTAAGCGACACCTTGTTTAGTTGTTTTTTATGCAACTAAAGATCAAATACATACTTAGACAATGATAAGGCACCAACAATTTTAACCATTATAGCTTTGGAAAAACAAACCGCCGATTTATTACATATTAATTTAAAATTTAATCATTTCAAGATCTAAATTATCCATGAAAATTTATTTTTTGCTTTCATTCAGCCTCATGGAACAGATGATTGATTCAAATTTGATGCGCTTACATGTAATTAGCAAGGTTATGTTCTTGCTGAACGTGCGTATCAAATCCGTGCGGCACTTTATCTAGATAATCCTTTCCAATTCCACAAATGAAACAGTTCGATTCCATGTCATCCTTGACGCTTTCTAGCTGGTCTCTCAGCTCGCCAAAAGCATCGATGATCAAACCTGAAATAAGTCAATGTTGAAACTCGTTTGCTCGACCGGAATGTAATCTTTAATGTTATCGCCAATTTGATAAAATTCATTAGTGTGACTATTTCCTGAATATATCCAATGTAAAAATATCGCAGATAATTCGAGTTACCTTGAATAATGGCCAACAGAATGACGATTACAAAAAAGAAGAAAGTGATATCGAACATGATGCGATAAACTTCGTACTCGTCTCCATCTGGCGGTTCGATTTCGTCGCCGATACCTCCGCCTGCCCTGACACCCTTGTACAGATGGAACACAAAACACTGCAACAACAAACATTCTTAATTATAAAACTGATGATATTATACAGGTTGTAATGTTAACTTTAGAGCTGCAGAGTGTTGAAACCTTAAGAAAAAAATCGTTTTCTTATCATAACTTTAATACTGTGCTATGAAATTTGACATGCACACATTAAGCACCAATTTGCATTTTTTGATGTAGAATTTTTTTTGATAATTCACTATACCCTTATCATATTCAAAGGGTTCAAGCACTGCTGTCGCCTGATCTTCGATTGCGTTCAAGTTTCTGCCGATGGTTTTTCGACAAACTTGCTGAAAACCCTTTATTTGATATTAAAATACTCTATACCGATGAAGCTAGTTTTTCCCGCAATTCCATTAGTATTTTCCATAATAATCATGTATGGACCGAAGAAAACCCGTACGCAATTACGGAGGCACATCATCAGGAGCAGTTTTTCGTCGGTGTGTGGACTGGAATAGTAGGAGACTCCCTCATAGGACCGTTCTTCCTTCCAGAACAACTCGATAGACTATCCTATCGTCACTTTCTTGAAAACGATTTGCCAATTTTGCTTGAGGATGTACCTCTTTTATTAAAAGAAGAAGGAAATGGAAGCTAGGGAATTTCTAAATGACGCGTTCCGAATCGCTGGATAGGATGTGGAGGAACTCAATCTTGGCCTTCTAGGTCCCCTGATTGAAACAGTTTATATTATTTTTTGTGTGGTCACCTCAAGATATAATTTTACTACACTGGCTCAAACTGTAGCGGAACTGAGGCAGAAAATTTTAGTTTCTTGTCAAACCATAAAAGAAATACTTGTGGAATTTTTGAAAGGGTTCGCCAATCCTTGAGAAAGTGAATTGAAGGCTGTATTCTAGCAGAAGGGGGACATGTTCAACAATTCTTATGATAATTAAATTAAATAGTATTAGTCTATCTGATCCATAGAAAATATCAAAACTTGTTGTAAACTTGTTTTCTTTTTATTGCAAAATCGCTAAAATCTCATGTGGTAGTTTGTAGGTAAGATATGTTTTTGTCTAATTTTCATTCGAGTCAATTGATTAAAATAACCGAAATGGTTTTTATTATTTTATGCGATAACGGTAAATCGGACGGAAAAAGTGTGTGTGTGGAGGTCAAATTTTCTGCAAATGAGTATTTTTATTTTCAAAAAAGTAATAGCGCACCTTATCTTTTTTAAAAAATCTCCAGAATGCATCCCCTACGGACCTCATTGTTAGAAATATTAAAAAAATATTCTACATCAAAAAATGTAATCGTGTAATCGTTCTTACAACCCTGTGGTAATTTTTGGTTGGGCCTCAAACAGCTTCCAATCTACGATTCAATCCTCTCGAAACAATGTTTGAAAATGAGCAACAATATTTTAGCCGCCTCTGAATCAATTTTCAAAATCTACGACTAGCATCAATAGTTTTACTTCGGACTTGTATTGGCTATACAATTTTTTGGATGACAACGTTTCGATATCGCTAAGTTATCTTCAATCGTTTTCAGGTAAACTGGCCGTGACATGTCCTTTCCACGGCAATTTTGATAACTTTGAAATATGAAATACAATTTCGATAAACTATTTGAATGACTAAATGATAGATACCGTGAGCATGTCGTGGCACTTCTTGTCGACGGACTCGTCCTCTTCCTGCACGTAAAACTTGCGGAAAAAGTTGAAAGCGATCACAGTGTAAATGTAAACGATGATGGTGAGCAACATCACGGTGAGGACGAGCTGTTTTCCGTTGTGCGTCACCGACTGCAAAATCGTGCGCAACGTCTTGAAACCGACGGCGACGTCCAGCAGATGGGCAGCGAAGAAGAAGTTGTTGAAGTTTCCCAGAATGGAGAAGGTGAAGTACCACAAAGAATACAGGAACGAGTTGTCGGTAATGGTCACGCCCGCTTTCCAAATCTGGTACCGCCAGTCGATGTTTATTATCCTGCGCAACAATAATGATGTCATGTGAAAAATCATGTAGATTGATTTGTTAAAATTTAACGACAGTACACTTACAAAGATATAAGGCTTTTCTTCTCTTCAACTTCTTGCTGATGATATGATGTTTTTTCCATGCCTAGCAGATTGCTGATCGATTCAAAATCATACGTTTCGCTGTATTTCTGCCTAACTTTCTTCTTTACAAATTTGTCCCAGTAATTGACGGGGAACGACCTACAAACGCATAAAATAAATAATTTTGCAATATTGCCATATCAAAGTATGTAGTTATAATTTTTCATAACCTTTTACTTATGAAAATATTTTGTCAATTATAATAAAATGTCGAAATGTTTGGCGGCGTTTCGCGCTTAACTTACTTGGCCGATATAACCAGCTTGTCCCAATGCGACTTGAGATCGTCGTCTTCGGGCTGCTCTGCGATGTAGAGTCCCTCGAACTCGAGCCGTCTTGCGATTTCCTTCTCTCTTTTGAAAATGGCCAACGGCACTTTTAGATGATAATACGCGATGAGCATCGCCAACGAGACGATCGAATGCAAGAGCGCGGCCAATCGCATCACGTGCGTCATGTAGAAGAAATCCTCGTCGACGTGTACGAACTCGGGCGGTTCATCCTCTTCCCCGGATTCTCCGGATCCGGAGCCTCCGCTACCCTCCATCGCACCTGCGGATCCCTCCAAAATGTCCGGAATGACACCGCCGCCTTTTCCGCTCCCGCTACCCTCCGAGCCATCGCTCAAACTTGACACCTGCAACGATTACCGAATGATACCAACCGTATTATTTATCCGCACGAGTGTTATAATTTTTTTATTAATCACAGCTGTCAGAATACGTTTAAAATCGTTTTGGGTAGTTAAGGTTTTCAAAATGGGTAGAGGAAAGGTTTTTAGTGAGAAAATTCGGTTACTGATAATTAAATTTTTTCATTCGGGGAAATCAAACCCAGAAGTTGCAACTTTGCTTATCGCGGTACAGTGTGAGAAATATTATTAGAAGATATAGCGTAACTGGTTCAGTTAATATCAAGCCACGATATGTAAAAAAAGGTACTATCACAAATACAGACCGAAGAGCATTAAGAAGAATAATCGCAGTATGTCATCAACAGGAGTAGGAAAACTTCATGTTATTGATGGAAATGTCGATACAAACAAATATTTGGCAATTTTAGAAGAATCGCTTTTACCAGTGATGGAAGAATGTTTGACACCCGGCCAAGATTTCAGCAAGATGGTGCAGCGTGCCATACCTCAAAAAGGCTATAAAATGGATGGAAGAAAATAATGTAGCACTTTTGAAATGGGTTTCTAACAGTCCAGATCTGTCACCTATTGAAACTTTGTAGCACGAGATGAAAAAGGTTCTACGACAACATCCTGCTCGTACAATCACCGAACTGTTTATTTGTTCAGATGTTCTATTAGTTATAGGTCTAAGTGATTTCAAATATGTATTTTTTTACGACTAGAGTGTATCTAAAATGTTTTTGGGAAAATAAATTGTTTTAGAAGTAAATAGTTTCGTAATGTTTAGTTTATAAAGGCATATTTTGGTAAAAATATTGAAGTGGGCCAACTGAAGTACTAATAAATAAAAGACTGACCTTATAAAAGAGCAGCATGAAATTGATGCAAAATGCCAGCACCAGCGCGACGTACTTCAAGTTGTAAAAGTTCCTGGCCAAGAACGAGACGGCCCTGTGTCCGTACGCGGCGAAGTTGATCTGAGACACCGCCGACGGTTCCGCAGACGTTGTTTGTTTGCTTTCTGATTCGATCGCTTGCATTGCCGCCTGTTGCGCCGCTTGTGCCTCCATTTTCTCCTGCTGAGCGCGCTTCGCCTGCTCGCCACTATAAATCCAATTTTTTAGAATAAACCATAATACAGGTACATCATTGAATTTACATATTCGATTCGAGGAACCACTGCTTGAACACCGTAACGAGTAGTAGTCATTCAAATGATCTTACCCCAGTAAATCTTGCAAGGAAAGCGGTGGTTGTTGTTGTTCTGTAGATTCCGCTTCGGCATGATCGCCACCTTCTTCCGGAGTCGTTTCACCATCGCCAGATGACGGTTGACTACCCGTTGGAGATTCATGAGCAGCCATCTTGAATCTGGCACGAAACAAGCAGATTAATCCATTATTATAATAATCCAGTTGTCGAGTGAATGATGTTGACTAACGGCACTTACTGTCCATTATCCTCTTTGGCGATATCTAGTCCGAACGCTTGCATCTGTTGCTGCTGCTGCTCGTCCGTAGAAGCGGGCAGCGATGGCAACACCCTCAACGGACCGGCCTTCTCCTCTTGTACCACTTCGACCACCTCCTCCACGACGGGGCCTCTCATCAGCGACATCAAAATACCCAAAAAATATTTGATGATCACGGCCACTCCGAAGCCGGAATAATAGAACGCGTAAAAGATCAATCGGAAGAAGCCCAAGAAGAGTTCGCCGAAGGTCATCTGTTGCATTTCGGCTATTTTATGTTTGACGTTGGACGGGCTGAGCGACGACAGGCCGTACGAGAGGCCGTCTTTGAACGCTCCGTACGCCCTCTGCAGCGGATTCCTCGAAGCGCGGTCTTCATCTTCCGCCGTCATGTAACTGTAACTGGTCGATCGAGCCGGGCCGGTGCCGCCCGCCTCTTCGACCGCCATCAATCCGCTCGCGTGCTGCATTTCGAAGATCGCGTCCTCGCAGAAGTTTATGAACGCTTCCAACTTTTCCTTGTCGCCACCTTCGGTTACGATCGAATAGAAGAAAGCGCGTTTCGATTCCTGAAACATTTCCATATATTGAAGTGCTGATACGACTTTTAAAAAACAATACACATACACAAGAAAATAATATATGAAACAGTGAACCCAACACCCTGGTTTTCACAGATATTCAACGAGTCTAAATTAAAACGCGATAATGACTACAGAAAATTTTCAGTAACCCGAAGTGAAAATGATTGGAAACAATATACAAAAATAAGAAACCAAAATTTTGATGAAAAATCGAGCTGCATTTAGAAAAAAATGTTCCACAGAAACGGCGATCCAAATGGTGGTGGAAGACTGGAGAAGAAGTATAGATGAGAAACAATATATTGTAACAATATTTTTAGACTTCAAAAGGACATTTGAGACTATACGTATAGATAGGGAAAAATTGTTAATGAAATTGAGTCAATACAATTAGGCTCATGATTAATGATGAAAAAATAAGTCTAGTCATTTAAATATATTGGTATATATGTGGATAGTAAGCTACTGTTTCACGAACATTATGAGTACATTATTTCAAAAATATCGAAAAAGATAAATTACTTCTATAGAGTTTTCCATAATATTAGTATGCATTCCAAAAAAATTGTATACAACACTATAATTCTTCCCCATTTTTTATATTGTTCAACCATCTTGTTTTTGAGCAAATGAAAACATATTTTCAAGCTATGAGAATCATTTTAAATAAAAATAACTATACTAATATTAAGTCTATGTTAGAAGAACTGCAGTGGTTGGATGAGAAAAATTTCATATATTATTTAGTTCTCGTTTTCATATTCAAATTAAAAAATTGTTTATTACCACCACATTGAGAGAACTTGACAAAGTTACATAGTCGTTATTATAACTATGAAACTAGAGACAGTATAGATTTTCATCTGCAAAATTGTAATAGTAAATCTATATTTCAAAATGGAGTATTTGAATTTAATAAATTGAATAATGATATTAAACAAAGTTCGAATTTAAAAATGTTTAAGGTGAAACTAAAAAATCACTTTATGAATAATCAAAATACATAGTGACGTAATTTTAATTTTAATAGACAAGAATGTAAAATTACAGAAAATGGATTGAAGAAAAATATGTAACCGAATCATTATACAAAATTGACATTGCAGCATTAATGCTAAATAAATCTTCAACAACAAAAAACACGCACATCCGCAAATTTTAGAATCAGAAATAATGAAGATATACGTACTTTGATTTGCGGTTTTTCCCACTGTTCGATGTTGGACTCCTTAATTTCGAAGTATACGCGTTCGATACGTTTGCTGCTGCCCATGATTTCGATGCGTCCGAGGAACGGTTCGAAATAGTTGAGAACGGATCCGGCCGTTTCCAGGAATCTCGCCAGCCGGGGTTCGTTCGGCATGTGCTCGGACAGATTCGTCAACAAAACGGCCAAATTGAAGCCGATCTCCTTGGACGGTTCGTGGAAGCGGTCGATGAAACCGATATAGTCCAATTTTCCGTCGTGGTTAGTCTCGCAACACGCCAACAGGAATTCGATTTCTTCCCTATCATAATCGACATTTACTATAAGTCAATTACTTGTATGCAAACATTAAACGAAGCCCGAATAAAAACTTTATACAGTGAAAGCCGTTCCAGACTTGTAAACAAACATACATGGTGTAAACGTTATGGAAATGAGTAATAGGGGGGGGGGGGGGGGGGGGGTGGTTCAAAACAAGTCAAAAAGTTCATATGACCCATAGTCCAAAAGTCAATAGATTTTTGTCTAAATAGCTTTATAGTTTACAACTTTAAGTGCTCGACCACAATCTTACTAATTTTTATAATCTAATCTAAAACGTTTTTATATTGGGTAATTAACAAATAAATGGCATTAAGTTTTCCCTAAGTTAAGCCAAAATTTGTAGTCAGTAAGTAAGCTTCATTAAATTGAATATTTGAATCACACACGACAACAGCGCGTCGATTTTTCATCACTCTTATCGAACCGGCAATCGATCGCAAACGGTAATAGTGGTTAGTATGTTGTTTTGTTTTTGTTCGCGTAAGTCGTCGTGTTTATTTACAATGTTCTCGAATCAAGAGTTCGCCGACTTGTTATTAGTTTACGGTGAAGCTCGTCAGAATTCAAATCTTGCAGCTCAAATAGTATCGCGACAGATTTCGCCAACGGGTACACCCAGTCAGAAGGACATTTGTGCAAGTGTACCAAAGACTTCGAGATACACTAATATTAGCACTCGTGAAAGACACGTTAATGTAGAGCAGGAGGAACAAATTTTGAATATAGTGGAAATCAATGCAGATATCAGCGCTCGGGAATTAGGCCGCCGCGTAGGACTATATCGCATACCATAGTCCATAGAATCCTACGGGAAAATTTGCATTATCCCTACCATGTACAACGAGTGCAGGCCTTGTTACCAGAAGACTATCCTCGGAGACTAACATTCTGTCAGTGGTTTTTGTACAAAAACATTGAAAATCCGGATTTTTTTAAAAACATTCTAGCGACAGACGAATGTACTTTTACGCGAGACGCGATATTAAATTTCCATAATACTCACACGTGGGCCCAATAAAATCCTCATACCATTCGTGAAGGCCATTTCCAACAACGTTTTAAAATAAATATTTAGGCGGGTATTCTTGACGATCAGGTAATTGGCCCTTTCGAGTTACACCCAAAGTTGTCAGGAGAAGGATACCTTAGCTCTGTCGTAATTTGCGTCTGGCATTGCGGCGTTGTCAAATTTTATTTTACTTTAAAGTCGCTTTTCTCTTTTAAAGAATGCCGTTTTCACCCCCATGTTATATGAAACTTTTTGCGCTTCCTTTAACCCCCTCTATCACCCATTTAATTGATGACTATCAGAACGTTTACACTCTGTATTTAACATGAATGTTTCTAAAAACGGTGCTACCACTAAAGATTATTACACCAAAAATCTTTCGTTCGTTACATGAATCGAAACTACTCTAACCATGATTATTTTATATGAAACTACAGCCAAAAAAAAAAATCACAAAGTGTACGATAATACTAACGGTGTATAGCTCTTGCTCTGTTCCATTTTCTCTTTGAAATCCTTCGGATAAACCCATCCGTCGTTGTTGATGTCGATCTCCTGGAAAGAGGTGGACGAGGTGAGGTCCTTAAGTTTGAGGAACATATCGAAGTACTTGAGGATCAGTTCAACGTTAGAAGCGCTCTCGACGAGCGTGTCAACCATCTGTTTGCCGATGGTGCCGTTCACCACGTTGCCCTCGAGCATCGACAGCATCATCGTAATCATGTCCTTCTGCAGATTTAGCAGCTCCTTCAGCAGATCCACTTGACTGGAATGCTTCGACAGCTTATCTTGCATATGCGAGAAGAGAAATAGGAAACCGCCTACAGCGTCCCACAATCTGGAAGTCAAATATATTTTTATGCTCAATTATGTATATCGAGTTTACATTTTACAATGGCCTTCACAATATTACCACGAGTGATTACCCTGTAGCGGCTTACACGTGCTGCAGGCGCCACATACGTCGATAGATACAACACAAACCGCATACGCTGAGAAATGTGCACATCGTCGGCAATTAATGCGTAATCTGCAAAGATGTATTATTTGCCGCCGGTGGGGGTTCTATCGGTTTAAAGAAACTGGATGGGCTAACGCGTCATTTGGACCTCGGTTGGCCGCGTGGGTCAGAGTGTCGTGCTACTGATCAGCCGGTCGGCCGGGCCGCGAGTTCGAATCTCGCCTTCGCCATGGATGTTGTGTGTTTGTTTTAGGCAGCAGCGGTGGCCGCAGTAGTAGACCCTTCGGTCTCCTGATCAGCCGCCGTGCGCTGTGCGGGTTCGAGTCCCGTCCCAGGAGAAATGTTTCTCTTGGCCATGGATGTTGTGATTGTCCGTAGGTGGTAGATGGTCTCTGACTGTCGAACGCGGAGGTACCACCCGGCGGTTCTCGTAGGCGGAGCCAGAATGTGTGCATGTTGCATGCACACGTGTTCCCTCGCCAGAGTCCGTGTGGCGTCCCCCCTTTCCCATGTATCCCCCATAGCCCCACGGTACCCAATGGGTGCTTAGGCCTTAGGCCTTCGTGGTAGTTGGAGTATAAAAAAAAAAAAAAAAAAAAAAAAAAAATTCCTGACCTGACATCACTGTGATTTCTCCGCGGGACTGGATCTTCCTGTTCCATTTTATTGTACTTTTATTTTCGCGGCGTTTTGTTATTACACTTTGTTATTTTATCTACTTGTCTGTTATCATTTCAGCCTCCATACCAGCGAATCCGATCAACCCAGACCGAACTTGGCCCGATATTCAAAATCACCGTAGATGGAGATATTATATGTGTGTACCTGGAATGAGCCAATGCCTGTTGATTCAACGGACACGGTCCCTGGATCACTTCGGTGAGCGTGTTAAACACTTGACTAGCTACGCCGATGGCTTTGAAGAAATTCGCCTTACCCGCTGGGTCGATCAGTTCCTTGCTGGAATAGTGCCAATAAAAATCCATGATAGACTCTTGCAATCTTAGCAGATAATCCACAGTGCAGATGACCACGTTTACCGTAGTCGTGTTTCCGGCTTGAGTACGTAGATAGTTTTGCCACTCTGAAAACAGAATTTAATGGGAATTGAAGCGATAATGATGGCGATGATGATGATGATGAACTCACCCAAATTGTGGCCTTCACAGGTCAGTTGTATGAATCGGAAAAGAGCACATGTAAATTCTGCGTCGTGCATGTTTTTCTCACCAGCGGCACCTATAAATCAATTAAGAAATCATAAATCAATATTTAACACTTGCATCACGAATAGCTCTGTTCGTTAAAAATGTATGTGATGCGATATTAAATAAACGTATACTCGCTATTTCCGTCATCGTTTCGATGCATTTAAACTTATATATGTCCTCTCTTTATGTATGTACGAATATACCTTCTGATCCAACGCCGAGACCCTCTGCCTTGGTGTTCCTCTCGAAAGCGTCCAAGTCGAGCACCCCGCAGCTGTTCATCAATCCGGCGATACTCGTGAAGAAGCCGACGTCCTTCTTTTCTTTCAGATGGTTCAACATGCCCATTTGTATCTCGTTGTTGCCGCCCCGCAGAATCGAGATGCCCAACTGCAACGTTTTCATCACCATCTCGGACGGAACGCCTTTGCACGCGCTGATGTGCAACAGGACCATTTCGGCAACGCCGCGGTTCGCCAAACGAGCCTGGTTAAACAGCAACTTTTGCTTCTCCATTTCCTGTTCCTGTATAGAAGAGAACGCGTTATACTTGAAAAGTTACTCCACTTTTAGCAGTATCGTTGTTGTTTTATATCTTACCACCAATTTCCTATGTGTCCTCTAAAATGACGGCATTCGAAAAATAAATGAATTAAATTAAAGAAATGCTAGGGAAAAAAACGTTCTAATGGGGACTTTAAAATAGCAAAATAAAAACTGCTCACATGTATGGAGGATGCCCCCTCTTCTCCTTCCCCTCCCCCGCCTTCTTCCTCTTCCCCTTCCTCTTCCTCCTCGCCGCAAGACTTGGCAATTATCTCCGCGTAACTCATATACAGAGGATCCTCCTGCAATGCTCCAGACCGTTCAGTCATTGCACCTACAATTACATACGTACAACATATATTAAATTGTTGAAACAATCGACATTTTCGTTTGTATAATTTCTAAAAAAAAAAACAGCAACATTTTAGAGGTTATCAAAATAAAAGCGCTACTACTCGTTGGTTTACCTCTACAGAAAGTAGTCACAAGCTGAGTCAACGGGTCCGGTTTGCCTTCTTCTTCCTCGGCATCCTTCTTTGCTTCGGAATCTTCGAAACTTTGAGTAAGATCTTCAATCATCACCTCTTGTCCGACATTCTCGTCTTGCAACCAAAAGTCTCGATACGTGCGGATGAATATGTTTATAGCACGATGCCTAAAAGTATTCATTTGGTTATATTACAGTCTTCTTTTGTCTATCAAACTACATGCAAAACGGCCGAGCTAAGAATTTAATAACGGCATGCTCTTTAACGTATTTCATAATTTCTGGTTAACGGTCAACTGAAACGATACAATTGTTATCGTAAACAAACCTGCTCAGTTTATAAATGGGCGTCATCCGGAGGCAGGCGAGAGCCGCTCGTTTTCTAGCAGCTCCCAGGACTCTCTTCCAACCGTCCCGGCTATTTTTCGGCTTCGCAGACTGTTATTCAAACATTAGTAGTTTATTCGTAAATTCACACACGACAACTACACTCATTTATACACATCAAAAGTAAATGAAAAATAAAACGTAGAAATTAGTCGTTAAGTGTAGCAAAGAAAAATGCAAAATAATGGATCGTAAGGCACAAGAAATAATTGTCGATCTATTATTGATCACCATCAGGCACTTCAAGAGAATGTGACTTGTGACATGAACATTGCTCGTTATTATACAGATTAATGATCTAATTCAAGAACGAACAATATAAATTGGTATTTTTTTTAGGTGAACCATCGCCATTTTATTAAAATCTTTCATCCATATCCAGCACATGATCCTTCAAAACTTATTTGCCGCTATGCTCTCGAAGGTCCTGAATTTTGTAGTGATATTAAAAATAAAACACACACATACACATTTAAAATAAAAGAAAAACCCATAAAGAGAAATGAAATATGAATAATAAAAGTAAATATTAACGAACCTTGGCAAACTGTGCAAAGAAGCTTGCCGGAAGCAAGATAGTACAGCGCGCTTCCTTTGCGTGGAAACGACGCTTCTGTAAACGCCCTTCTGTTGTTGTTGCGGGTGATCGATCTAAAGCGAGCACAACCCAAAAATAATTTAATACAACCATTCGAGAAAAATAAATAAAAGTACGTTGCTATGTACATATCCAAACGCAGATTTATTTTTATTTAATTAATCGAATCATCTGACGTATTCTGTATCTGTGTACAAAACAAAGATAATAATAATGATTAAATAGCTTGTTTACGATTGGAAAAAGCTGCAAGCTCTAATTATGTAGGTACGTATGTACTAAGCTGAATAATAATTAGCTTTTTGGCATAAAAATAAAAATAACAGATTGAAGAAGAGATCGATAAACGGTGAAATGTAAAAAAAAATCTCACCATATGAAGCCCATACAAAACTTTGCTCATAGCAAGAATCCTTTCAACGGTCTCCTCCAACAAATTCTTGCCATTATTGTCGACCACGTTGACCGAGACGCTCTTCTTGCTACCAAGTTGACTGTACAAGTAATGCTGCCAGGACATTTCGTCTGCCGGGTCGATCTTGTCCGGTAACGTTAATTGGGTTTTCGCAAACTCGACGATCTCGTACTCAGGAATTTTCTTCGTGAAACACGATACAGATCCATTTGTTACATATTATTCAGAACCAGATGCATATGATGATCGTTGGATACGCGAATGTATCAGAAAATAGGAACAAACTTAATCTTAACTGAATGAAATATCGATATAATTTGAAAAGTATTCAGATAGACCAACCTTCAAGAATCGATCTTTGCAATGCTGTACTAGTTCCTGTTCTCTACCAGCGAACAAATTCAATCCGACTGGCAGGAGACGTTTCAAGCACGCCACCATCAGAGACGCTTGAATCTCCTTTTCTTTATCTCGCTTCTTGTCGCGATGTTTCTTCTTTTTCTGCAATAAAACAATGTTTAACGTGTAATTTTGAAAAGTATACAATCCATAGTAGCAATCTATTTAAAAGTAAACAAGACTAAATTTGAATTTGTATTTCGGTAGATTGTTAAGTTGTAGAAACCTTTCCGCCGGAAGTCTGCGTCCCATCAGGCACGACCGGTCTTCTGGTCGCCGTAGGCATGATCAACACCATATTGTCGATTTCGTTGGCCGATATGAAGTTTTGTTCTTCGCGCAAGAAATATTGAGATTTCGACCAAATATTGAATATTTCCGCTACGCAATTGTACAAGTCTTCCGCTTCTGGAATGTTGTGCCTCAGCCAATGGTTCCTCTGCAGATCGACGTACTTGATCAACAGCGGGTAGAACGAGTAAATATCGCGCACCAACAGATGCCAATCTTCCTGGATTTGCGTCTCAATCTACAAATAAAACATCAACGTATTATCGAATCTGATACTACCTCTAAAATATTGTTTCCGTTTCAGTTGCGGTGGTCTCGTACCTGCGACGTGTCATCTGAAGCGCTCTTGATGAATCCTCTCATGCTCTCCTCCTTGTGAAACATCGTCTCGGTCCTTTTCTTTACTCTTTCGGCCAGCGGCAAGAACGGATCTTTCAGCAATTCCTCGCTACTATTTATTATAATCTGTTGCGTGTACGCCGCTATTCTGGTCATCCACGGCGCGCTTTCGTTGCCGATATTCTTTTTGATCAGCTTCAACACATTCTTCAGCAGCTGATTCATGTGCTCGGCTGTTACCATCGACACGTGGGACCTGAAATCATTGAAAATGCTTTATGTAATTCTGCATTCGAGAGACACTTATTAGTAACGTTTTCATATGTTCGACGTTAAATCAAAGTTTGGGTAAATAGTAAAAGGTAAAGTCAATTAAACCTACTACATGTACTTATCTTCGATTCCTTCATTGATAAACAACATACGTACTTTCTCAAAAAAGTGATGTGTGCTGGGTTGAACCCACTTTACTACCCCATATATTCTTTCCAGCTTACCGCGAAACTCAAGTCAGAATTGAGGGCCGATGGATACATACATCGAAAGCCGATAGAAACGATAAAAATCGAGATCCCGTATTTTTTTATACGATCATAAATCTTTATGTTGTTCGTCGTTTCCAGCTACGTTTCTCTTCGAAGGATCTGCTTAGCCTTTATCCGTTTTTGTTTGTTATTTATCGGAGATGCACGTCCACCAAGATCTAGATAATCATGTTCATGTCTATGTCGAAGTTGCTTTCATATTTGTCGATTCGATCCAAAATTTGACTTGAGCGGATAAAAAGTTGCGTGAAAAATATACACAACTTACTTTTTTGTGGACCTACGTAATCATTGATATCGAAATCATAAGTACTAGGATAAAATAAATTACCCTCCGGTTGGGCTGACATTATCGGGTCCTTGCGACCACCAAAACGGCAGATAGGAGCATAACATGGGCATGATGACGTCGATAATGTGCGGCGCATCGTTGTACGTTTTTTCGCTTTCCACAAATTGATCCACTTCGGAAAGTATCGTCTCCAAAGTAGGCATGGCGCTTTCCATTTTCGCCATTATATCTGCAAAAAAAAACCAAATAACATCGTCTCCGCTTTTTCATTGCATCGCTTTTCCGTACCTTGGGCTTCCAAAGAGTGATCGGCGATCCTGTTGAGCAAAGAGAACGGGTTGTTTTTGTTGAGATGCGGTTCCAAGAATGCGACAGGAAAAGTCGAACTAAACGCGCCCAAACACGATCCTAACGACGGTCTGTATTTTTCCATTTCGGTCTTTAGATATTTTCGGTCATGATGCAGCGTCGGATCGGTGCCCAACGTGTACAGAGCCTGCAGAATCTTGTAAGAGGCTACTTGAATTTCGTCCACTGAAAGGAAAACAAATCTTATTTGCTTGGAGTTAGTTTGCTTAAAATTCGTTATATCGAAATCAAAAGAATCGTTTAGAGTTATCGCATTTACCATCTCTATATGTATAATACTGAATACATAGAAGAATAGTTCGACTTACGCAACAAGTCACTGCCGTATTCGCAATAAGCCAGATGATCGAATAGCGACGTCAAAATGGGCAGCAAAACCGCATTTACGTAGAACAAAGAGGTGGACGTCTTCAAATGTGTGCCTCGCAAATGGCTATATTTTCCATCCTGCAAATTGATGATGGTGTGTCCCAAATCGTCGGCCGTATTATTGAAAAAGGTCAACATTGAAGTTCTGATGAACTCGGGACAATTTTTCACTAACGATTTCGCATCTACGCCTTTAACTAGCACCTGCAAACATCTACAAGAAAAATACTATACTTTACATTATGTAATTTTTCCCCATTTTTTATATTATTCAACCGTCTTGTTCACAGCAAATAAAAACATATTTTCAAAATTACAAATTCCAAAAAATAAAGCTATTAGAATCATTTTAAATAAAAACATATATGCTAGGATTAAGTCTATGTTAGAAGAATTGCAGAACTACAGAACTAGAGGCAGTAGGTATAGATTTTCATCTGCAAAATTGTAATAGCAGCATAACAAGCAAATATGTATTTCAAAAAGGAGTATTTAAATTTGATAAAGTTTTCGAATTTAAACATTTTTAAGGTGAAATGAAAAAATCACTTTCAGAATACTCTAAATGCATAGTGATGTAATTTCAATAGATAAGAATGTAAAATTGTAAACGAATAATCATAGAAAATATGCTAAAAAGAAAAATCTTCTGTACCTGACAGTGATCCTAACATCAGCTCCGAAGGCAGCCAATCGCGACCTGAGCAGATTGGCCAATTTGCAGAATAGCGCCGCCACCATTTCCTTTTCTTTCAAACTGGCCGCGCCTATGTTGTTCGTGGCCGTCGCGACGGCGATGAAATAATTCCGGTGCGTCGAAAAGTACTTTTCCATCAAAGGCAAAACGACTTTCGAGAAAAACTTGATGTCCCTGGACGAGGTGCAGAACGAGGTGCGTCTGCTGAAAGTCTGCGACGGTTTCAGCAGTTTCATGTTGATCGTGGCGCGGTCCAGATACTGGATCAACTTTTCCAAAAGACTGTATGCGAAACGCAACTCCACCGACGGACCGGCCGTCGACTGTTCCTGTTCTTGTTGCCCGCCGCGATTCGGTCTGAAATCATACCGTCGTATCGTATTGCAGGCAGCGTTATCACGATAACGAGAAAATATCAAATTACCTGTGCAACTTGAATCCCATGTACTGAAGGTATTTAAGGAACTCCTGCGATCGTTCTCTATCCTTTTTCTTCTCCTTATCGGTGAGCAGATCGTACGGCACCAGTTGCGGATGCAACGCCCCGCCGCACGTGTTCAGCTCCTCCTTCTTTTTCCGCGCCCAAATGTCGTGCGCGTTCTCCGCCAATCGCTCGGCCATATTCTGCATCTCCCTGGACAATGTCAAGTTGGTCATGTCGACGGGGCGCGGGTTGTAATTGAACGCGGACGCGCCGCCCCCTTCGCCGCCCCTTTGCTGAGCGCCGCCCCTCGCCGAAGCCAGCTCCACCTCCGTGTGCTCCACCGTCCACCCTATCGCCAGCAACGCTTTCACAGACTCGCGCACCGGCTCCTTGTAACGTTCTTTCTCCTATAAGGATATTCATTCAATATAAAATTTTGTTCATAATTTGGTAACAAACTTTGGGAGAAAGTGTTCGTTACTGAACTTGTTTACAAATTAAAATCCTGTCTGTCATGCAAATGAATTTTTGTGGTAAATTTCGTACAAAATCTTGCGTTGAGGCTTGCTACTTGATTATAAAATTGTAGAACATGAAGCGATCCCGTAATTCGCATATATTATACGCGACTGCGGGACCAGCGATCTGCGTCGTAGCTGCCTACCTCATGAAACAACGAAGTAAACGAAATCGTAAAAGAACTTCGTGGCGAAAATGGATCAGGGAGAGGGATCGGGGAAACTGATGAACACAACTGATCACAACAACTGATGACAACAATTATCATCTCGTCTAATAATCACAAAACATCAAATTTTTTTGTCACGTAGATTTTATATCAGCCTTTTTACTGATACAACTGCGCAGTAGGCGTCTGCTCACTTTCAGCATGATATTATTTAGAACATGGCTGAATTTGAAAGATGAATTTTTCAGATTCAAGATTGCAGTTACATGTCTAGCGGCCATTTCAGAAACTTGAAAATATTTTCCTGGTTTTCCTCTTGGCCGTTTTGGCATCAACCTTTTTTTGCCGCAAGCCTCTACGACGGATAGGTTCGCAGATACACCAGTACCTAGCGTTCTTACATTGTACATAGATAATATGGTCAATCAATAGTACGGTATGGAGTAGTGTTGTTCGTTAAGCTGAAACTGAAAAGACTACTAACGTAATCGTTGAGCATGGAGTAAGGTTTAAGCCTGGGATGTGTTTTGTTGCCATCCCAACCGGAATATGTCTCTCCGTATTGCCAACCGTTCTCCAGCTTCCTGTTCGCCCACGCGTCGTGATAGTGCTCGGAGAATTGCTGTACGATGTTGTTCAAATCATTGCTCAACACCACCGAAGAAGTATTGATCGGCTGCGGATTGTACGGGCCATCTGGTCCGGTCGCACCACTTGACGACGTTGATTTGTTAGTGTACCTGAAAAATCAACGGAAATTTCATCATGTATTTATTAAAAACCCATGCGTTCGACTGAATTACGTGTTGATACTTTTTTTTGCGCCGGAAGACCGGAAAAATGGATAAAAATTTTGAACGACTTTGATTAAAAAACCTACACATCAAACCTAGCTATCTGACACCACTTTTAGGCATACTCGCCTATTTTGGGTTACGCATCCGCTCCTCGTTCATCCCCACCTATTACATTCGACCGGTGAACCGATTTTCATCAAATACAGATCAGAACCACCGACTTTTGTTCAAAGAAAAATTGCACACCCGCACTCAGGTCAACCCTATAACACCCCTCGTTTTCGCGTCGAATAACGAGGTAATAATAATAAAAGTAAGTAAAAACAACAAACAATACGTAAAATACGACAAACATAAAACATGAAGTGGCAATAAAAGGTAAAAAAGTTAATGAAACCTAAATTAAAATTTAGTTGAACAATAAATAGTACAGGGTGCGGCAGTGAGGAGGTGTCCCCGTAAGAAAAAATCGCATATGGATAAATCTTTGGACCGAGGATGCCAATGAACATCACCAAACCTGGAAATAAGGCGACCAGGGTAGAGAGGGTGAATAACGTCCATGGATGCTCGGGCTGTCGTCCCATCCTGCTGGAACCACACACGTCGCATTGGAATACGTCGCCGTCGTAATTCAGGGACAAAGTAGTTGGTGATCATGTCGACGTAGCGTTCTGAGTTCACGGTAACATCACGACCATTACCGTCTTCGAAGAAGTAAGGACCAATGATGCAAGTTTTCGATACAGCGCACCAAACCGTTACTTTTGGGCTGTGCAGCGGTCGATCAGTGCTTCCATCTTACGTGTGAAGTTCATTCGTTGTGAATAATCTCCGGGCTGTAACTGTTGCACAATTTCCAATTTGTAGGGGTGAAAGCGGAGATCCATATGCAAAATTCGCCTTACCGAACGATCACTAAGGCGAAGTGCAGCAGTAGCATGTTTCCGGGCAGATCGAGTCGGACTGCGAAGAAAGACCTGTCGAACGCGTTCAACATTTTCAGGAGTTCGAACTGTTCGCGGCGCTCCTCTTGGTCTTCTGTTGATCAGTTCACCACGCCTGCGAAGTGATTCAACCCAACGACGATGACTGACTCATTATTTCGGACGAAACAATCATAGGCGAAAACGCGGTGCTCCACCGTCCAAGGCTCCATAACGACAACTGGTAAAATAATGCTCCGATCTCACGAGTCAAACCGCACCCTCCCCACATCTCTCGTAGACGGAGGCGGAGAGTACTACCCATCCCAAAAACGTCCGTCCTCTCTGCCGCACCCTGGATAATAATCATAATATCAGCGGTGTTCTAATTGACGCTTACCATTCGTCGTCATAGTTCTTCGATAGTGAGTAGTCGGGAGGAAGCGCGCAACCGATGGCGGTCAAACAAGGCAGTGCTTTGCCGAACAACTCCGGATCGTAATCCATTTTGCTCAGAGAATCGAAAATGTTCGAGAAGAGCATCATCGTCAGCCGTTTCTCTTCATCGCTCGACGATCCGTATAGTCCTGCAATAGACACAACAATCAATACAATACCGATAGTTTGCCAAGTTATTCTTCATCCTCATCCCGTACGATGGAAAATGACGGAGCTGCTCAACGTTCTGGTGTATCCCGGCTGCTGAATCGGTGGACGGTGTTCGTGGTGCGACATCAATCTGTATATGTATAAACCGGTAGCGTACCAGGGATCTTTCGTCGTCTTTCATCGTATGAGATGAGGATGAAAATAAGCTTGACAAACCATATTTTTATAAGAGGCACAAACATGAAAGATCTTTTAAATCAAAAAATTTAAATTCGTTGGTAGACTTGCAAAAAAATTCTGCTATAATTCATGTACTGTGAAGGTAGTTTTCAAACTCCTCGAATCCTTTCGGGTTGTTATTTTTATAACAGTCAAATATTAGAACGTCTAGCAAAATACGTGCGTTCAAAAAATAATGTATAATAAGAATATAACAAAAATAGTATAGATAGTGATTTTGTCAAGGTACCTTGTCCGGATGTGGTGCCGTAATATTTGGCGCATCGGTCGTAATGTAACGTGAGCAGCCTCAAAGCGACCGTCGTGTATTCGGACAGATTCGAGACGTCGACGGTGAGTTTGCGCAACAGCTTCAGCAACATAGCGGGCTGCAATTGGCTGGTGAGCGCGACCAGGAAATCGGAGACGGCCTCTCGTTGGCCTTTGGTCAACATCCGGTTCTTCGACAGCCTGTAAACGGTGTGCAAAGTGGCGTCGAGCAGGGAAGCGTAGTTTTCGGCTTCGGCGTAGAAGCGACTGTGTTGTATCAGCAAAGGTAGGATCGAATTGCCGATGTACCGGTTCATGCTCAGAGCCATATCCGATTCGCTGCCGTCGTTCCTGTCTAGCATCGTGGCGCATCTGAGGTCCGGGAGAAAGGCCTCTTCCAGCAGCCGGAAGAACAACTCTTGAGTTTCGATGCCGTACACTCTTTCCAGGAAAAGAACCACCGACTGTTTGTGTCCGGGTATCAGACCGGAAGGCATGTCCGATTTCGGACGCTCTTCGCCCGCAGCCGGATTGTGCAGGCTGAAACGCAAGCTGAGCACGCCTTGCAAGTCTTCCAAAGGCACCTAATTAACAATTAAAAATACATTTCCATCAAAATAAATTATTACTTTATAGAATACGCAATACTATGCGAAAAGTGAAATTTTCAATAAAAAGTTGTGAGGAAATAATGAGAGTACATAAAAAAGCGAGTGCATTTTTTTAAATTAAATATCATAATGCCAAATTTAAACGGAATGTGGAAAAAAACAAATATAATTCTTATAAGGTCTTTGCTACATTATTGACTTAAGCAAAAATAGTTATTTATATGTATGCATATTTTAAGATCAAATGCATACGGTGCATAAAATAAAAACGAGCCCCTTTCCACTTCAGTTGGCCCAACTATTGAAATCTTAGTTTTTTTCTTATCAAACACAAATAATAAAAATGTAGCAGGGTGTTATAGGTTTAAAATATTAACAATGAATATTTTGATAAACACCACCTTTATCACTCCCTAATCAAATTTGCAGCATAAAAATAACACATATTGCAATTACAGCATATCAACCTATTTTCATTTCAATGCAAAATAAGTCTATAACGCATAGGTGGCTGTGAAAAATAGTTTTGGGTAGTTAAGGTTTTCAAAATGGGTAGAGGAAAGGTTATTAGTGAGAAAATTCGGTTACTGATAATGAATTTTTTTAATTCTGGGACATCAAACTCAGAAATTGCAACTTTGTTAGACTTATCGCGATACAGTGTGAGAAATATTGTTAGAAGATATAACGTAACTGTCTCAGTTAATATTAAGCCACGATATGTGAAAAAAAGTAATATCCCAAATGCCGACCGAAGAGCATTAAGAAGAATAATCGTGAAAAACAGACGTGTCAATTATTTAAAATTAAGTACTCAGTGGAGTGGCGCTGTTGGAAGGAGAATTACGAGGTCCACAACTCATAGAGAGGCCCACAAACTGGGATTTAGCACTTGCAAGGTAAGTTTTCTTATAAAAAAAAGTGAAGCAAGAACCCTAAAGTTGCACAACTTGTTTATAGGCCAAAGAAAAGCCACTATTAACTCCACTGCAAAAGAAAAATCGGCTTAGATGGGCTAAAGAACATAGACAATGGACACCTCAACAATGATGTGCAATACAATGGAGTGATGTATTCAAAAGGAGTAGGAGAACTTCATTTTATTGATGGAAATGTGGATACAAATATTTGACAATTTTAGAAGAATCGCTTTTACCAGTGATGGAAGAATGTTTGACATCCGGCCAAGATTTTGTGTTTCAGCAAGATGGTGCAGCGTGCCATACCTCAAAAAGGCTATAAGATGCATGGAAGAAAATAATGTACCACTTTTGAAATGGGTTTCTAGCAGTCCAGATCTGTCACCTATTGAAACTTTGTGGCACGAGATGAAAAAGGTTCTACGACAACATCCTGCTCGTACAATCACCGAACTGAGACAAAAGCTTCAAGAAATATGGGATTGATTTACACCAAATTTTTGCCAAAACTTGGTTAACACAATGCCCCAAAGAATTTCAGCCATAATAAAAAATAAAGGTGATGTTATCCAATGGTAATCTTTCAATTGTTGCTTTGTTACCTTCGCGCATTTATTCGCACATTGTTTATTTGTTCAGATGTTCTATTAGTTATAGGTCTAAGTGATTTCTAATATGTATTTTTTACGACTCGAGTGTATCTAAAATGTTTTTGAGAAAATAAATTGTTTTACAAGTAAATAGTTTCGTCATGTTTAGTTTATAAAGGCATATTTTGGTAGAAATCTTGGAGTGGGCCAACTGAATTGGGAATGGGCTCGTATATAAACAATATAACACATTCTTATAAAAATACAGGTGACGTATTGATATATCTATTACCGAATTACCAAACTATCTAAGTAACATATTATTAGTTACCTTCATGAACGACTTTGTATTGTATTGCTTACTGTTTCAGAATCGCAAATTCCCTGAGCATAATAAATTAAAATTCAACGTAGATTTCAACTAACACTAGTTCAATTTCTCATGTAATACGTATTAGTTCAGCTTGGGGAGAACATGTACAACTTTGTCATTGTTGATTTTTATAAGAAAATTCTCTTCATTTAATTTCGTGCTGCTTGGGAGAAGGAGGACAGCTCATTCGAAAACGACGTTCATACCCTACAATATGTACAGCGAGAGCGAAAAAAAGTGTATCGCCAGCATAACTGCCAACGATATCGTCATCTGCAGAAAAATATTTCTATAATTCAAATTACTTGACGGCAAATATATTTGAAAGGTCCCGATTTTCTGACTATCCACAATAGGTGTAAAATAAGTAACTGACCAGCGATCGGAGGATGGCTCTCGCTCTCAAGGATTCGTTCTTGCCCAGCGCGATAACGGCCGCGTCTGGCGCGCACCGGCCGAGAAGGTCGACCAAAGTGCAGTAGAAGTTCAAAATGGCGGCGCCGGTGTCGATGTAGTCCTCGTCGTCGTCGCCCTCTGGCAGCGGATGCGTGAACTGCGCCACGTTCACCACAGTGCCTTCGGCTTCGTCCATCAGCTTCCGCCTGTCCGCGATACGTTCAGACATCTAGAATCATTCAACAATTCCTTAGTTTTCACTAATAAAGCGTTACGCATACACGGTTGATGAGAAGATCGTGCAGATTAAAGAACGATTATTATCGACAAGTTTGACGATATAATACAGTGTTCAAATATAGAGTGTTCCCAAGATAAATATGCTTTATGATTTTAAATAATATCGACGTATTCTTATTTTTCTTCCTGGTTGCGTCTCTAGACTTGATAATTTTTGGTATTTAGGACAACAGCAGATACATAATTAGGAAATTTTAGTACATGCTCCGGATATTTCCAGCTTCAGGCGTGCTTCTTCTAAAAATAGTACATGTATGTGAATATTTCTGCACATAAGATTGAAAACAACTACGTTTTCTATCTCTCTAAAAATGTATAAAAGTTTGTTTTTGACAATTCTTCCAAAATACGAAAATTTTCATGATATCTCAAGTACTATTCCATTGTAACAAACAATGCAGCGACTTCGAGCACGTTAGGTAATTTGTCCAAAGAAAGTCGTTGCCGACAAAACAGATTTTTTCACATTATACTTCCAACGGTCAGTCAACATGATTCGTATGCCGTATGCGGTTATCGCTGGTTACCTTGTTAGCTTCGACTATGGCCTGCAACAATCCTTCACCCTCTCCTCTCAATGCCGGCCCCAAACATTCCGGTCTCCGGATCAACAGCCGGATCACCAGGTTAGCGTTTTCTTCGACGCTTTCGCCGTTCACCCACACGCAGAACCGCAAAAAGTCCAGATAACGCTCGCCTTCTACCGGGTCCCAACCAAGGTCCGGATAGCCCTTTTCGACTAGTTCGGAGTTCGATTGCAAGCCGCATCTGGACAAGTAAACGGCAATTTTCTCCAAATAATGTTCTCGCAACGCCAACGCCAACTCGGTGTTTTCCATTAAGGAGGAATACGAAACGTCGAGCGGTGTCGAGCCGCGCAGGCTCGGACGAGACAGCAGGATGTTGCTGTTGTCCAAAAGGAAGTCGAAGTGCTCGAACATCGCCTTCTGATTTTGTCGACCGGTTCTGCAGAAATAGCACAAGAAACGACAACACGCAACCACCATCTCGTGAGAGGTATCCTGAAACAGGGTACAAGTTTAAAATTTAGACGATTCAGAAGGAAGCCGTCAAAAATCTACGCGCTCGATTTAACCGATAAATCGGATTTGATCGAGACTATAGATATAAGCAAATATTTTGAAATGTTACATCGACAGTATGCCTTCTCAAGGCAAAAAGAGAGAACAAACCCGTCGTCTGTTTATTTGACAGTTACCTTTTCTTTAGCAACGGGTTCCCCTTCCGTGTTCTGCTGCGCTTGTTGTTGTGCGCCTGCGTCGCTCTGCGCTTGCGATCGCCTGCCGAGCGTGTTGATCATCACCGCCATGACGTTCTCGTGGATGCGCAGCACCCTGATCAGATCCGGATGTTGGAAGAACGTGTGGTTGTTCACCAGCTTCCACAATCGTTCCCTCATCAATTCTTCCTCCTCTTGCGACATCTGGACGGGCAACAAAGCGCGAATCTGACTTAGACCCACCCACATCTCTTTAACATCGCCTTTCGTCTTCGCGTTTATTATGTACGTCTTCTCCAAGGCGCGGATCAGCTCGCCCACCGAATCGTACTGACGCACCAGCAACGAGAACATCTCCTGGACCAGCTTCGATGTCTCTATCTGAGCTTCCTCCGCCCACCTGAAGCATTCCAAAGAATTATGTCACATAACCATGTACCGTTTATAGATTTTTTCGGAAACATCTGCGAGAAACATTTTTATCGACACTGCAGCACGGGGTACATTTGGGCGATTTTAATATAAACTCGGATAAACAACGCTGTAAAGTTAAGAGTTTGCACACCAATATGCGGCCAATAAATGTTCTGCCAGATGTTGAAAAAGTCTTTGAAGAAATTATTTAGGAATTTATCGAGCGAAATAAAATTTTAACCAAATTTCAAGCTGGATTTTGGAAGAAAAAATCAACTAAAACGGTAATACAAATGGTTATAGAAGAGTGAAGGAAATGTACGAACAAAGGAATCATGTAGTGACAGTGTTTTTGGACTTGAAAGGGGCGCTTGAAACTATCGACAGAGATAAATTACTTAGAAAATTGCATCACTATGGATTTAAAGGATCACATACCGAACGATGGTTGAGATGAGCACCTTCCTGAACGTCTCTTCTGGCGTTTTCTTTTCAGGCTCGGTTTCTTCCTTAGGCTCCTCTTCCAATTCCTTAACGGCATTTATCAAATTGTACAATTTCTTAATCGGGCCCAGTTTAACTTGCTCATCTTTGTTCTCCTCTTCTTCTTGGTGTTCTTGTAACGCGGCCAAAGAAACGTGAGCCATCAGCGAATTGTGGAAATTGATCATCTTTTCGCACAAATCTTCGCCCAACGGGCAGTTTTCTTTGTCGTCGTCTTCCAAATTTTTGAAGCCTACAGCACGCCAATAAATATAGAAAACGTAACATGATCGGCGCGATTGATAGTAATGCTAATCGAGAGGAATCTTAAACTCGCTAAGCAAAACATTGATGCCTATCAATTTCCATGGACAGGTTTGCTTCTTTACGGTGCGATAAATAATTATACAGTTTATTGAAGAAATGAACTCATCTGTACGCATGTATGACTAAATAAACAAAATCATTTTCAACAGAAAAACATCTCATTTGGTCATACAAAGCAGCTACTGACTCTAGAGCAAAGACAAGTTTTCATATCACTTAAAACGATACCAGAAATTTTTAGGATGCATTGTTAAAAGCGAATATTAGGCCAGCATACAAGTAATCATAAACAGTTAATTAGTCATGCAATACAAACAAAATTGAAACATAATTTTTATAAATCATAATTAGTAAACGGGAAGCGATCATGACAAAATAATATGCAGATATCAGTGCATTGTATAACAAGGGGTTTTTAAGCAGGATATAAAAATTAAAAATCTAACTACAAAATGCCATACGATAAGGGTTCAAATATCTACGGGAACATAGTGTTTAGCTACTTGATTGAAAATTAATATGGAGGAATAAATTTCAACCAAAAAATGCCAAAATTGACAAACGTATTTACTTACACTACTCAACCGAGCTCAGTTTTTAACGATTGTCTAATTTTGTATTCATAAAGAGAAATTTTACAGGAAGATAACATTTTTACACACTAATAATGACTACAAGAATATGCAGTAACCGTTTCAATAGCAATATTCTAATATACCTAAGCTGTAAAAATTTATAATTTGTATAGAGGTACAGAATGTACTGGTAAGGAGGTTTTAGATTTATTCAACAAATTTTACCGTTTAAATTCTGTAGATTCTTTAACGGATAATATGATTACTTTCATGAAAATATTATCGAAGTATGAACCACCCCCCTGACTCGCAATCGCTAAACTTAAACCCTCTCATTTACGCATGATCTGTATATTGTATAACAGAAAATATCCAACAAGAAATGCCAATTAGAGTGCAAAGCAACATCTATCACCAGATAAAACATACGCATGTCAATTTTCTATCGTACGTACCTGCCATTTTTTTGAACTTACACAGAATGGCGTTCATCTGTTCTCTGGGCGGGCAACGGAACTCTTTCGTTTTCTTTGCTGCGACAGCCGACGGTAAATCGGACTGCTTGATCTCGATGTATCTAATGCAAAAATAAAACACATACCTCGCTGTTAGAAATGTTCGTGTACGGGTAACTGTTTGTCGTACCTGCGCAGCTGATCGGTCTGCAGTTCGCCAACGAAATCGTGGCTGAACGCGATGATGGCTTCGACGCGATGCCTCAGCTGAACGTCGCACAGATGGTGTAGCAAATAGCACATTTGCAGCTTCGCTCCCTCGGCCATTTTCATCGCCATCAGCCCTTTGCGATGCTCGTCCTTGCCTTCGTGTTCGAACGCAGGATCCCACACTTCGGGACATATCATGATCAACAGCTTCTCGACGTCTTCGTCGCAGAGCATGCCTACGAGCAGCAGCCGGTCGACTAGCTTCAATAGAGGCCTGAAAAACAATACGAACATATTGTAACGCCCTCGTAAATAGAACTTTGCGAGACGAAGAATTTCGTTCTGTCTGGAGGTTTTGGGTTGGTAGGTAGATTTTAAAATAAAACGGCATTTTCGTTACAATATACGGGTCCGTAAAAAATCGTATAGAATGACCCAAAGCTCAAGACAATTATATTTATGAACTTTAAATAATGAATAATCCAAAGAGTAATAGATGATGGAAACATAGCTTACAAGAATAGATTCTCGTTAGATCCTCCAACAGGGTCTCTATTGTGCACTTGGTTTATTTCGACGGATTCAGCCAATGCAGACATCACGTAGTCTCTGACAACTTCCAGAGGGAAATACGGCGAATACAGGTTTTTGATATTGTCGATCACATCCCTACAAATTTAAAATATCAGATAACTTGAATCCTAAAAAGCAATTTGGAAAAGAAATGACAAATAGCCTTACGTGATTTCGGATGTTTTCATTTGCGGTTGGACGGACTCCACATTCAGTCGTCTTAAACTGTGGCACATCTCGGGATCCTCGTACATATCTTTCAATTCCTGACTGATTGGTATTATGTACTCGTTCTTGCAAACCTCCCTGAAACCAATAAAGCACATCGAAACAACTGAAAGCAACATTGAGATAGGAGATGTTGTTGGTCCATACGCCCCACCACCTGGTAATAATCTGGTAGATCTAAGGTCTGAGAAAATTTACCACCGCTCCGCTCTTCAAAAGTTTTATTGATGATACACTACACATACCACATGAAAATTTTGACATTGCTTTAAAAATGCTATATTCCGACTTGTCAAAAATTATAAATTATTTAAATGTAAATAAACAAAAATTGAATGCTTCTAAAACAAAATGTATGCTAATGGGAAATACCTAAATGAAAATACTATACTTATATATATAAAATGTCGAAGCAATTAAATATTAAGGTATATTATGTATATTGATAGAAAACTAAAGCTTGCCGATGCACTATCATTCCAAAAATTGACAGAAAAACAAATTTCTTTTATAGGCCTTAGTTGTCTTAGTACATATTCCAAAAAAAAAAAAATAGTTAACACAATTATTCTACAGCATTTACTATAAAGTTTATCTATCTTGTTCACTACCAATGAAATTGTATTCTCAAAATTACAAGTCCTGCAGGATAAAGCTATGAGAATGATATTAAATAAAAATAAGTACATTAAAATAGAATGTATGTTAAAAGAATTGCAGTGGTTGAATATCAAAATTTTCATATCATATTTGGTTCTAATTTTTATATTTTTAAATAAAAAATCATCTTTTGCCACAACACTTAGAACACGAGGAAATATAGATTTTCATTCAAATCAATATTTCGGATAGGATTACTCGAATTTCATAAACTTAACAATGATATAAAGTCTACTTGTGATTTAATTTAAGAGAATATTAAAGGAATATTTAACGGAGAGTGCAAGTTCTTCTAAATAAAACTTAACAAGCAAACAAAAAAAAAGTAAAGTTTTAAGGTTCGGTTACATTTTCACTTACATAGTGGTGGCGGTGGATTCCAAGTGCACGGCAATAAGGAGATCGTAAAAGCCCCGTCTGAGCGGGCCGCTCATGTACTCCGCTTTGATGGCATACAGCAACTGCTTTTGATCGACATGCTTGCACAAAACGTGCGCGGCCCTGTAGTTACTTTGGTAGCAGAGCGCCGCGTACAACGTGAGAGTGTGCGCGTGGAAGCTAAGCAGTTTCTCCATTTCAATCAGTTCCAAGATGTCGATGCATCTGTCCTCTTCGGGCATGTGCAGCGCCAACATCGACACGGCGTCCTCGCACAACATCGACCACCCTCGGATGTCGGACAGCTTCAAAGCGTGTACTTGCAGGCTCTGGTTTGGCACCTGCACACACAACAAACCAGGTTACTCGCTCCTCGACTCGGGATATTACAAATTAATGTCGAATTTTATCAGATTATATAATCGAGATTTTTATTGTCTTACCCTCGCCCACTGATGCGGTTTCAGGCATTGCACCTTCAGTCTTGGCGGAAATTGCGGCGTAACGTGCCTGGCGCTGTTTTGCAGCACGGCCGCCGATAAAGGAAGCGTCGTTGATGTTCTGCCCAGTTCGATCTGCAACACTTCTTTGCTTGTCGCCTCTACAAATATCGCAGGGAACAGTTTCGTTTCCGGTTCCATCTGCAATTTATTACCATTACCCTTAGAACCTATTCTAAACGTTTCCAGGTATTTAAGTTTTTTTTGTCACGAGTATGTATAGAGTGGTGCAAACGGAACGATATGGTTTGAATTATCTATAAAGTGTCCCTTTTTTTAAATTTACTCAATTAATTTTTTTCAATTCAGGGTAGAAGAATGTGGTATGAAGGAATACACCCGGGATTTTACCTCAGCGTGCATATCGTCGCAACTTCAATTCAAAGCTTGGGAACTCTCGGTATCAAGAATGAGCCGATTGATTCCAAGTGTTCGGCAACATTGAAAAGTAATGAAGTTTCGTAATTCTGCAAAATGCTGACCGATCAACGGATTTAAGTTTTTCATAGTTGAACGAGTATCTATTTATGTCAGAAAAAAAAACTTTGCCTACTTTAATAACAATATTCACGATGAAATCGCAGTCATGAAGCTCAAAATACGCTGTGCGAAAAGAACGGATATGCAAAGCAGAAAATGGTCACCGCTAGCATGATATTTTACCAATTAATTCCCTATTAGCATAGCTCGTTTAAAAAATTGTATAGTTTTCATAAATTTGTTCACCTTGAATCGATGCGAGGTTGGTTTTCCGTCGCAGGTGAACGTGATGTATCCGGTGGCCGCGTCCAAGAAGCATCCGATGAACATGCCCTGCGCTGCTCCTTTTCCCGAAGCGTCCTGAGTCACTTGGTTGTACAACTCGTCAGCGCGCACCATGTAGCACGATTGACGGTCGATGCTGAATACACGAGAATGAGGATAGCTTTATGTGGCCACTTATTAAAATGCATTTATTAAATTTTTATTGAAGAATTTTATAAATTTAAATAATGTATTGATACACAGACACCATCAAATTGTTAATAGTGGTCATTGATCATTAATTAGATTTTACTAATCAACTAGCAAAGGTTGCCTTTATTATAAGAACATTTAGTTACAACGTAGGAACAAGCACATATAAACAGGAACTGTGCCTCATTTGAAAGTAGATTAAAACATAGTATTTATTCCCTTTTGGCGTGTCTATTTCCAAAATTATTTAATAAAATGCTTTTTAAATGAATATAGTTAAAAAGAACCTAGAGCTAAATACAGGTCTTTATTTGTGAATCCTAAAATAATATCTGTCGTATCATTGCTAATTTTAGAAATAGCTACTCTTATTTTTAATAGTAAATTTAAATTTGAACCATTAGAGTTACAATATTAGACGTAAACAAGAACTTATATTACTAGTTCCTAAATCAATACTCATGAAAGATTCAACAATTTATAAGGGTGTGAAAATTTACATGTGTCTCAGTGATACTATAAAAACTTTTTAATATGTAAATCATGTTATACGACACTTCAGTTGGACCAACTATTGAAATTGAAAGTGGGAAGAGGCTCGTAGTTTAGTACTAAGTTAGCGTAAGAACGATTGTATTCTTCAGACAATAAAGCATATTTCATCTATCAATCTATCTTACATTTACAAGAAATATACTGAAACATTATGGAAGAAACTCACCAATCTATCACTCTTTCGTAATCATCTGCCAGGACGACGGATGCTTTAAGTACTTGGTTCTGATTGAAATCCTTGCTGTGCAGATGATATTGCGTTGTAACCCACCCGACGTACGTGTGCGTTGGATCCTGACCAGGAAAAATTCTTATACCTGAAAATCATGTAATTAAATAAATATTCTTAGGAAGATGCCGGTTCAACGTCGAAGATGCGAATATTCTCAATGTGAAACACATATAATCCATAAACATTCAACGGCTACTTTTGCTTGTAATATAAATGTAATCTGTTTAGATGAACTTACCGTAAAAATATTCGTTGATAAGCTTCAAACATTCGGCGTCGTATATTTCGTTGCCGACAGACTCGATGTCAGACGGCTGCGTGATCGTTAACTGTTTCTGCTGCCGGTCCTGGCCACTCGCCGCTTGCATGTCATTCTGTATACCGAACAAATAAAATCACACTTAGGTTGATCATAAAAAATGACACCAGGTAGGTTGACTCTGCATTTCCCGCGCAACGTTGCGATCATTTCATAAAAGATTATCTTCGGCGCAAGTTAGTATTTTTAAACTCGCTACAAAAAAATTAAATGCGCCTCAGCCATTTGATAATGATAGCGTTGGTTGCTCCCCTATCGACCATCTGGCAACGCTACAGAACCACACGGATTGAACACGTCCCGAAATTTGTTTATAATTGTTGTGTTTGTTCTATTATTTTTAGTTGTGTAACTTGACGAATCCTATGCATGTATTTCATGTATTTTCAGGATAATATATAATTTGAATAAAGTTCGACGTATGAAAGTCCCCGTTGCGTTGTTCCGATAGACCGTTTAGCGTCTGTAAACATCTCTTTAAGTTTTAAGGACAAGCGTATCGGGAAAGCTTTGATTCGTGAAATGTAAATTAGGCGCGACAAGTAAAAAGAAATATTTTGGTCGGATGAATCTACCTGCGACGGAGGTTGTTTCATAGTCGGCTGCCTCTGCAGCATCGTGTTGGACAAACCGACAGATCTCGCCTGCGGCGTCATCCCTGTTGTTGTCACGCCTGCGGTCCTCGAAGATGGTTCGGGCGTTTTCGCTTTCTTCCCTTTCCTATCACCGCTCGTTTCTCGGTTTTTCTTAGAGAAGAATCTATAAATATGTGAATATTTTATTATTTTCCAAAGATTCTATATAACAGCAACGCAGGTGCGCTGGCTATTAATAGTTATGATATTATGTTTCTATCAAATGCGAATAGTTTTTTTTAGAAGTTATCCCAGAAAATCGTACTCGATGTGTTTTTTTGAGCGTATCCAAAACATCAACTTTTCAGAAAATTACGTCAATACGGCTTCAATAAACTCTTTTAACGGTAATTTCGAGCTTTCGGCACGCTATGGTGCCATCATCAGGAGCTGAAACACAAATATGAAGCTAGCAACCAATACGGAAAAGATTTAGATTTTTCAGACCACTTACTATATATACGACTTGCCAAAAAATGTTAACAACTCAGACATGCAATCCTTTGCCGATGATACGCAGCTCCTTCACTACTATGATATAGATAATATTCACGATTCTCCAAAAATTTAAACTGTGATTCTAACACTAAAGTGCTGTGTTTAAACCAATTTAGGAAATGTATCAAAAGCGATTATTTTTAATGAGTCGTAGTGGAACACGCTATGCACAATTATTGCTTAATATTGATGTCCACCATTTGTCATGTGTATTATTTTTTCCTCGTTTTTAGGTGTATAACAATTCGTAATTTGTACCAAACTCTACCTTGCTTTATGCCATATAAAATACCTTTCATTTAATATATATATATTGTTCTTCTTCCGCACTAGTGTTAAGAATCACCCGCGGCTAAGTTTCGCTACTAGTGTTATATCTGTATTATTTTACCTGAACGGCGATCTTCCTCTTTTCTTTTTGTCGTCGCTTTTTTCTTGGTTTGTTGGGGAAATATCGTGGTATCTGTTCATGTCCAGTTCGCTCGTCGATCTGTGAACGCCTCTGCCCATACCGTTCACTCCTAATGTTGCCAAGAAGAAATTATGATTGTAAAATATGCACAGACAATATAACAATTATTAAAAAATAAAAAAGGTAAATAATTATTTTCATTATTACCGTGATCGTCGTATCCGTTGGTGTTCCTTGATAGCGATCCTTTCCTTGGCGGCCTAGCGGGCATCCTGACCGACTTCGTCGGCTGCAGCGTCTGTTGTTGGTGTTGCTGCTGCTGTTGTTGTCTCTGCGCCTCGTCCGCTTCCACTGCGTCCTCCGAATAGTTCCTATGCAGTCCTTTGATGTCGGACATCGAGAAGCCGCTCTTCATGATGTTCTCGATGTGAGCGGGCGGACCACCTCCTCCTTCCGTCACTTCCGCTCGCAAACGGTGCTGACGGATCTTGATCTCGTTCCAACGGCGCATCTTGTCTTCTTCGCTAAACGGAAAAACGAAAATGACGATCCGGAATCGTTTATTCACAAATGCGGAACTCTCTACGGCATCGATGACATTAAATGGACACAACTGTCGATTTTATGTAGAAGATCCTAAGGCGAACGTCACACGGTCAGTATTTACTGATCATTCTCATTTTCTCATGAGCGATAACATAATTCAACCCTTCGATAAGATTGGTACGATTTTAAAAAAAGTCCAATCTTCGTTTCCGAACCACAATACTTACGTGATGAACTCCGAATGACAAATGACAGGCAAACTGAGCCTTAAGAATTCCCAATTAGCTTTTTCCATCGTTTCGAAGGTGTTGTGGCTGATTTTAAGACACGGCGGTGTTTCGGAGCCGGGCAGAATTCTCGTCACGTCGATTTTCGTATCTGCCATATCGTCGGTGTTTTCGAATATCGGCTGATCTTTTGTATACCAGTAAGTTACGGCTCTGTTCATGTTCCTATAAAAATAAAACAATCATACTGTGAATGACTGTATCGCTATTAAAATTATATTGCAACGCACTAGTAACTACATAGAACAACGAGACAGTCTACGCTTAGGCAATCAGAATTGCGTGACCGCCATCTAGTAAGCTTCGACGAAGGCTGGAAAACGCGAGAACGCTGCTGGACTCGTCGAATTCGAAGATAAATACACGCACAGAGGTACTTACACGCAGAACGGTTCGTATCCTTCCTGCAATCCGCACATAGTGAAATACTTCAATTGCGTGACGTCCTGTCCGAAAATGAGCTTCGCCTTCTGTCCGACGCCCAGCGTGAAAGCGGGAACGAAATTATCGCCTTGAACATCGGCGAACGTCGTTTCGCCACCCAAGGCGTCCATCAACAGTTCGCCGTTCAAACTGAAACCTAAAAGAACAATAAATACATGAATACGTCTCTTCAGCGATAATGAATAACTGAATTCATGCAATGGGGAACAAAGTAATATCGAAAATATTAGAAAAGTGTATCAAAGTTCAACAAGCCATTAATAGTCTGTTTTGACAGTGACAAATAAGGGATAATGTGAGAATGCTTGTTGATAGTGAGTAGTGCTCTGAAAATTTTGTTTAGCGTTACTTTCAGCTTCGGCAAAAAAGATAAAAGCACCACTAATGCAGCCGCCGAATTTTATCAGTCTATTATACAAGCAGCAAAGCAGATCATTTATGGCGGTACAGTACAATCCGTTAAAACACACTATCGCATAAATAAAACAATATAAACACACTCTGATGCGATTATTGCAATGGATCAAAAATAAAAAGCTCAAGCTGCATGTAGCATCAATTTTTGTCGCTTCTTACTTATGGTATGATCGATTAGATCAAGGAAAACACCAACGACATCTCCGACTTGCCACTGTCTTCCGAATGATTCGGCGGAATTACTGTACACTTTTTCTTCCTGGGAAACATTGAAAATTTCCATATTATCTCGATGTACTCTTTCAGCAGAAGCAGAAGAGTACGCGATTTTTGAAATGCGTTTCGAAATGAAAATTTCCAACGTTTAAACATCCATCCGCATGCATATGACTTTGATAGTTACGAGCATTTTGTGGTCATGATGAAGAACACAACAGAACGTAGAAATGTCACAGCCGATGCGCTTGTGATGCGACCACCAATCAAAATCAATCATCACTCAACGTGACTCACTTATCGTTCTATCTATGACGTCAACAAAACAACCAATCACGTCACCCACGTGATACCTGATTCCGAACGATTCATAGTTTCCGCCGTGGTATTTCCTCAGCTATATCGAACACATCGTTTCAATTCAGAAAGTGAAAGTTTTATTTTGACTGTGAAAAGTACACAAGATGTACCTTATTGATCGCGCTCAATCTATCTATCAGTCGGGCTGAATGATTAACAATGTTTCTTCTTGTTTTCGTCTTGAAAATTTTCAAGGAGAACAAAGAGAATAACAGAGCAGGTCGTAAAAATCGTGAAATCGTTAGGATTTTTCGGCTAATTCATATTCGTCCACAATAAAATAGATCAGCGCAATTCAAATGCATATGTATAAATATCAGTATTAATAAGATAATAATGTGATTATATGTGTACTAACATTGAAGCCATCGAATGCCCAAGTGTTTTCATCAGATCCGAGCATCCTGCCAGGATCACAGTCGGCTTTTGCCCAACCGACTCTCATCGGTCCAGCGGTGAGAATCTCGAATTCGAAATACCACTTGCCAGAACTCACGGCGTAATTCTTTTCCGCTCTGTACGTCCTGAAGAGAAATTATACATTACACCTTGACGAAATATTAATATTAATCAAAATAATCGGAGGATTGCCAAGTGGAGAGGCTAATTTTTTCAGCATTTTGCAACGTTGAACAACGCGTAATTGTACCTGAAAGCGGGATGTCTTAATTTGCTTGCCTCTGCGAGCAGCGTCTCCTGTTGCTCTCCGGTAGGCGGGTCCAAGTTGTAACCGTACACGAGGAGAGTTCGTACGGTTTCGGAGGCGGTGTCGCGATTCGCCTTCTTGATCGCCTCGTCCACTTTCGCGTAAGGCACCAGGTGAGGGCTGCGCAGGAATTCGGCATCCTGAAACAAATACGGGACGCTAATGTATGTAGTTTGACATCGCCACTGTCGAAGAAAAGCGCCTCCGGAACACCAACTCACTCTACTACTCCATAAGCTATCTTTTGTTAAGTGATGTACCTATCGTTATTCTTGCACCGATCTGCTACGTGATATAGACAACATACAACACAACATACACGGCTCGGAATTAACTGGCGAGGCGGATATTCGAACCGACTGTCGAAGAGAACATTTCGTATTTAAAATTTTCCGTGTAAGTGTACGAACTAACCTCGTTCAATCCGTACGTCCACGCTTGCTGGATCCTCTCCTTGGCCCAGAGGTTGTGCGTGTTCTCAGCCAGTTGATCGACAAGTTCCTCCAACTTGGCAGACAACGTGATGGCGCTCAAGTCCAACGGGGCCGGTTTGTAACCGTTCGGTTGCATGAACGGTTCGTTCGGCAATCGGATGGTTTTGATGCGCGCTGGCGGTTTGTCCATCGATATGTAGTAACCCAATGATATTATCGTCCTATCGAACAAAAGTATCGATTTTAAACATTTTTATTACGGACATCTTTACCGAGATCGTAACGATCGATACCCTATTTTCATCCATTTCTAATCTTGATTGCATTAAACTAACATTTTGTTTACAATAATTTGCTCTTCTCGTAAAATGCCCCCTATGTAAAAATGCGGTACTTACTTGAGAGTCTGCACGGCGAGCTGCGAATCGTACCGTTTCTCAGCAGCGGGCAATTTATCGAAAGGCACCAAACAGGGATGAACGTGCCTCATATCATCCCTGTATTCTCCCCATTGCCATCCCGCTTCTATTTTGTTCATCGCCCACATTTCGTGGATGTTCTCGGCCAGTTTGTCCCTGATAGATTCGACGTACTGCGGCAGCGTCACCATCGAAGTATCCACCGGATTCGGCACGAACGCGGTGTCGTCCTCGACGAACAAAGGACCGGCTAAAACGTTCTTGGCCATGTTGCCGAAGTAGAAGCACGGCTCCAACAGCAGCACTTGCTGGGGCAGCAGGGATTCCACCAGAGGAGAGAACTCGTCGGGCGGGGAGAACTTTAGCTTGCCGTGGTCGCCGCCCAATAAAAATCGACAACTGCAACAATTTTGATATGCCTATTTTGTTTGCTACAATTACATTCTTTTAAAAAATACAATAATTGCATTACGTACAGATATTTAAAATAACAAAATTTCTATCTCTAAGAATTTTTTCCTTTATAAAAATAGTATCTATTTTGTTTTTTTTTAATGATTTTTAATGATTTATATGTAACTTTTATATAGGTGATTTTTGGTATGACTCAACTTTGAAAACACCTTGTATAATATGTATTATATATTCATTATCGAAATAATAGAATATAAATAATACTGACAATTTATTGAATTGAGTTTTTAAAGAAAACTCGACGAACGGGTGTGTATGTAAAATGATGTCGCATGTATTTTTCTCGATACTTTTTTCGCGCTTACCTGATTTTAGAGGAACAGCTAATGACAGGGAAGAACATGCCATCCAAGTTGAAGGTGCGAAAAGTTCCTTTAACAGGCGCACCGTTGAAGGTGAAACTGATCAACGGTATCGTCAAATCCAGGGCACATCCGATCACATCAGCTGAAACATCATTTTATATTTATTTGTTTAGTTCCGAGCTGTCAATTCAGATGCGAAAATTATCATTCTCGAAATACTAAAAGAATGTCGCGTATTTAAATTTAAATCTCTTCTGTAATGATATATTTTTTGAAATAGAATCGAAGGTGTTCTCAGCTTACATTTCCTAATATATGGTTCGGTGTTATTAGCGACGACCTTGGTGTTTCTGCCTCCTGTCCAAAGATACGCGCCATCGAATCCGTACGAATACAGATCATCGCCGACTCCGTTGCCTCCCCATTTTTCGCCACCGCCTGGATAAGGTATGTACCTGATACAAACGACAGATCAGACAATAATAAAGCTGCTCACAAGAATGTGATATAAAGAAATGCCTATCGGGTGCTTCAAATTCGACATTCAGATCTCACAAATAAATCGAATAAAGAACTACTCGGAATTACAAAACTCGCAATTTTGCACTCGTTTAACCTACTTCGTACCTCTTACCATGAGAGTCGAATATTGAAAGATCCGGTATATTGTTTGTTTTAAGTAAGACATATCAAGATATAAAAGTTAAGAGACTGATAGCCCTTAAAGTATATGCTAGAAAAATTGCAACGAAACTGCGAACGGAATCCGTAAACACTCACCCTTTAGAGTTGGCCCAGCCGATGCGTAGATGCGGCAACATGTGCGTCATTTGTTCCAAGTGATCCACCGTCACTTCAAAATACCATTTTTGATAGATCGCGCTACCTTCCACTCTGCCCACAAAAATGTTCGGCCGTACACTAAAAACATCAGATATTCGGTAAATAATTCGACGAAATAATATATGGTTAGGCGTATACCTGGCAACGTGGTCGACGAGCTGAGTCTGCAGCAACAAATTTTTCCCAGGCAACAAATAATCGCAGATGTTATTCTGCGAACTGCGCACCGCGACCCCGTTTCCGACGCACAGTGAACACAACACATCCAACACCTTCGGGTCGCGACCGTGCTTCTCCAATAAGGATATTATCACTTTTATATGCTCGTCCTGGAAACAAATCACTTTTTTATAATGGATAAAATTTTCGGGACCTTCTCTTGTACAGTCAATATATTATGCCGAATATTTCCCTCATGTATAAAAAATGTCATAAGGAGTGTGGAATTATCGCAAAATTGCAGCAAAAATTTTCCGTTACCTTTTCAATGAAAATTGCCCAGTAACTATCGAAAACTTCCCTGTCTTGACATGCATAAATAACGAATTTTAAAAATCGTTGGAATGTAACGTTTCGGAAATGAATCTTCGAGATGAATTCAAAAACGAGTGATGCTGTAATTATGAGCACACTTTTACAAGTTTTACGTCTGCTGATAAATAGAAAGTGATTGAAATTTTGACTCGCAAAATAGCACGACTGTATACTGAATAAATAGTAAATAATAGTCATACCCTCATCATATTTAACGCCTCCGGAGAGTCGATGAGGACGCAATGCAACACGTCCAACATTCCAGTGCCCTCGCCGGACGCCTGAGAGCCCAGTCGAGAAAACAACCAATTCAGCCGGTTCGAGTTTGCGAACTGAGCGCAATTTGTATGGTTCCCTTTGATTATCGCAGCTGAAAATCAACCATACAAAATCATTTGCAATTCGACCAGACTGGCTGCTATATAGAAATAAGAACCTTGTTAATAATTCATCCTCGACAGCGGGTGCAATTAGTAAACAACTTGAGAGAAAGGAAAAATAGGCGCAGGCGGGATTCGAACCAATATCTCCTCCATCCCGAGGACGCCAGCTGCCAACCAACATTAGAGGAAAATTCGTTCGAAAAGTCGTTACCGTCTTGTCGCGGTGGTAGCGCGGTGCTGCAACTATTTAGAAAGTAACTGGAGATACTTTACCAATCCGTTTTGTTTCACTTGTACGCAAAAAATAAAGGAACAGTAGCGCGGTTACGATCGAATTTGCCTCTTAACAGTCGATCCTGAAAGTTGGTTGGCAGCTCGTGCTGTAGACTCTACAGAATGGAGGCGAATCGAGCCAGCGCCCATTTTTCTTTTTTCTGTCAAGTTATTACATATTCGCTAAACATACTCGTTGATTTCCTTGGTATCGCACCATTACTTACCCAAAAGTTGATATAGATATCCGCCAATGGCCTCCCAGTTTTGGTCTCCGGCCAAGGCTGCCAGGAAGCCTTGCGAGGTGATCACGTTGATTTTGTCGATGGCTTCCAAAATTAAATTAAGGATGCCTTCCTCCTGAAACAAGTCTTGCCTGTTTCTCAACGCCCTTAATCTGTTCTGTTTTTCTTCGTGCTCTGCAAACAAATTGCGAATATACAAACATAATGACTAGATATTGACACGTATCATTTTAAAGGATACCCTAAGACGACTCACCCATGTCATCTTCTGGCTGAGCAAAATAGTTGATCAGATCCTCCAAGCACATCACCATTTCGCTCAAATTGACGGATTGGAAGAACAGCGAATGACGACGATTCATTTGAAGTTGTTCCAGGCCACTAGAAGGATCGTAAAACATTTTTATCAATTGACATCCGACATTCAAATAAATGTAAATCTCCCATGTTTCGCTGGCAAACGCGGAGATTCCTCAGCATGAACACGTTAACTTAATGTAGGCAAAATATAAGAGGGTTTTCGTAAGGTCACGTTTAGCTCTTACTTGATGAATTGCGTGAACAAAGAACTGCACTTCCTGATTACTCTCGCTGTTCTTGATTCCTCCTCCTGACTTCTACTAAAGTCTAACCCGTCATCCATTTTACCTTCTTCGTGAAGCACCGCTTGTTTTTCCTCTACCTTTCCGACGCCTTTCTTTTTCGTTTCGTACGCCTGCAAAAACAAAATATTGTATATATATATATAGGTGAAAAATAAAGCTTCCACCTTTAGTTGGGTACTTCGACAAAATTCAAGCAATGAGGAGTCTTTATACTTTTTTAGTCTTTAGCTTTTAATGGACTTTGCCATCATCATCGGGAGCTGCATTCCCAACTAAAGGCGGAAGCTTTATTTTTCACATAACTGGTCTAGACGACAATGACCACGTTTCAAGTTATATATATCTATATATCCAATAGTGCTTTTTAACAGGCTGCTTTGGACTCTAATATCAGCTACTTGAAAAGCGACAAAACCACCTCATAATACCCCATGTTTCTCTGACCGAATTAAGCTACATACGCTTAAATGAGTTAAGTATTTGAATGAAATAAGTATTTCTAAAAAGTGTCAATTGTATGAGGAGAAATTTTAAACATATGTGGTTTGATTCGGCAAAAGAAAGATGGGGAATTATCAACATGAAAACTACAGGATAAGCATCAGATATGACAAAATGGCATAATACGTAAAGTATACCTTATAAGTGAGCCAAAGGCTTGATTCTGAATGTTGAACGATGACAGTAGAATCGCCGTATTTAATGATCGGCGTGCCGATCACCTCCAAGTCCTTGTCTTCCAATACAATTTTCTGATCGTCTTTTTCTTGGCGAAGGCAGAAAGCTGTGATCGCCGTATTTGCCTCATCCCTACACAAATATAAATACGTGTACACTATGTATAGAGTACAAACGTCGTCATAAGTTTAAAATATAGTCTTCAAGGAATTTGTCAATTTCTGTTGTTACACGCGAATACACTATCTAAAATAAAATTTGTGAAACGTCGACTTAATTACTGTCAATTTATAAAAAAAATTTGATAAAATAATCTAGGAAGATTCCTACTACACAAAAAGAAAAAAAATCTATATAATATATAGAACTGGTTGTCGATTGATTCGTACCTGGTTACAAGGATGAGTTCGTTGTTCTCATTAACAGCCAAGTAGCGGCCGGTGGTGAGATGTCTGATACGCATCGGATGGTACCAGTTGATGAAACCGCCTGCCCACTTCGTGCGTGCCAATTCGAGCCGCCAGAGGGAGCGCGCTTGCGACATCACGCTGCCGCCCTCGTACACCACAATGCTGAAAACGGATCGACATAACACATATCGTTTTATGAGAGCAAATAATAATAAATTGATATGATGTCCGGCAGAGGTGTCTTACTTGTGCGCCGGTTCTGGATCCCAGGAGGAAGGAATAGTGAGGCACTCGTCACCGCCGTGGAAGAACCTGAGCACGTCGCCTCCGAACACGTATCCGACGTATTTCATCCTAGAAATGCCGGTGCCGTAAGGTTGCACCGACCAATGAGTCACGTGGAAGCTCGCGTTCACTATTGAGATCTCGTTCTCTTTTGTCGTATGCTGAAATCACATTAAAAAATCTATACGTGGGTACACACAATCATAAATAAGTGCGAAAAATATCACAAAAATAAAACTTACCAAGTATCTTTCTGTAGCGACTGATACTAAAATCAAATCGTCGCCAACTCTGACCTTTTCACCTTCAGATCTGCAAACAGGAAAGCGATTAATATATGATATTTAATCCTGTAACGTAGTATCGACGGTTACAACTGAATTTGGTAGAAAAGTTACAAACCAAGATAATACGCCTAATTTACCTTTGCTTACTGGCAGGATGGACTGTCCACCAACAAGCTTCGCCATGACTGTGATCTTGCAGACCCACGTCGAACGCCAGTTTATCGTTGCTAGAACTTGTCGACAGGCAAGCCAAGTACTACAAATAAAATTATTTTCATCATGCACAGAACAATGTTAAAAGACTCAAGAATGTGAAATTGGCAAATCCGTTATAATAATAATAATAATTGATTAGTCTTGCTAGTTAGTAAATATACTTAAAGCTGCAAAGTATGTAAAAGATGAAAGTAACACATACCATATCACTGTTCTGGTGTCTAAGAAGAATGGCATTGCCATAAAGCAAAGTTCTATGGCCAGATCCTGTGCCTTTTCCCTAAAAACAATATGATTAATAACGGAACTAGTTTCGAACAAATTGCCCTTAAATTAATAACGATCCAGTGATTAATACTTACTGGCATATTTTTTAAATCCTCATACATAAAAAGGCAAGCATTCACGACCCACTGATAAATTGAACAGGGAAAGTGAGAGCAACTATCTAATAAGTGCCATGATTTGAAGGTTTCTGCTAAGATAGATATGAGGCAAGATACATATCAACATGTTAAATAAGATTTATTCACTGGAGCATTATTTTAAGTATACAGTTCTAAAAGCTTAAGCTTCTACTTTTTGTAAGGAGTACATCAAGTTGTATTTTTGCGTATATGTGAATCTGGTGAGCTGTCTACCATACAAATTTTAGTATCTATTCAATACTGATAAATCACAAATATACAGGGTGTTCGAAAAATAGACAGAGGGTGATTCCTTGTTAAAAAATATGAAAAAAGCTTCTATTAACATGGATCAGACTTTTCAAGATACAGGGTGATAAATTAAAAAAAAAATCAATATCTTACAAAATATTTACTCCATTCTGTTGAAATTTGAACTGACACGCAAATGTCAAACCTCCATGCAGAAAATATTTTTTGTTACCCAAGGCACTTGACTTTTTAGCAAAAATCAATAAACCAATTTTATCCGGTGACATGCAATAAAATTGTTTTTATTTTTTTATTCTCGAAAACGAAGTGAGATACGAAAAAAATACAAGTAGCAAAAAAGTTGTATTTTTAGGTGCCTAATCAAACAACAAATATTAAAGTTACAAAAAAGGTGTATATTCTTTTGCCAATATTATTCGCCAAGGTGCCCCCGAGACGCCACTAGACCAAATAATTTTGATCAATTTGAAGCTAAATTAACCTCTTAATACAACAAATAATTTTGCCAAATTTCAACAGAATCGAGAAAATATGTTTCAAAATATTAATGAAAAAAAAATTCATCACCTTGTACATATCTTGAAAACTCTGAATTACTTTTTTTCATATTTTTTAACACCCTGTTTACTACTATAAGACATTCTTTTGTTAGTGCCGTCTACAGCGCGTTATTATAAAAGGCCATAATACGACATATTTACAATGAGTTAAAAAAACAGTCTCCAAGAAAAACTCGATAATGATTAATAAAAAGAGGGTAACATTCCAGAAACATGTTGAAAACAACTTGGAATGCTACAGAACAGAGATGTGTACAAAATATAAATTATACCCATATCCACTGAATCTATTGCACTCCCACATGCAGGTAACCATAGTTAGATAAATAATATATTTTCAGTAGGGCATATTATAAAAGTAATGCTTTACAAAATATTTACAGAGATCCACAAATACATTTGGCATGAGTTTAAAGTAGATGATACAAAACTGAGATTCAAATAATTATAGATTACCAAAGATCGCAATTTTTCCTTGAATGCATAAATGATTATAAGAAGTTTATGTTATAATTTAGAAATGTAGTATATAAAAAAATGTGCTTCGATTAATAATAATTATTGTAAAGTTTAGGTTGACATCTTCCAATGAATATGAATAAGGCATCAACTGTGCCAACTTACTCCCAGGTATGTAAATAGCCAAATATACCACGTCCGAATTAAACAAAGTTCCCCATCTACTGATATCTGGTATGTTAATGAGTTAGGATGTTAATATGATCAGTTGAGAAAGCTTCAATTTCAAGCAGAATTTCATACAAATGATTTACAATTGACCTCATGTATACAATCATATTTTCGACTTTTACTTACTAAATTTTCCTGGCCCTGAAAAGCAAAAAGTCCAGCAGGTGAAATGGAAAATCAATTTAGAATATGAAATAAAAATTTACCAATTAGGATCACAGGACAATTTCTTATTTTGCATTCAGATGATCAGCACTGATGATGGATTTGTAATATGCACAAATGCTTTCAATAGGTTCATATCATATACTCCATATCAAAAATCAATTGCATAACGACAAAAATAATTTATTTGCATTTGTATACTCTAACTAATTAGAGAAATGATTTGCCTGATTAAAATTGGCACCGGGCGTAAAACGTTGATTGCAAATATTCAGTAGGATTATAAATTGAAAGATATTATTGAAATTATTTATCTTAAGGTAGATGCTCAATTCAACATAACATGTTATTAAAGTTGATGGGAAATGAGCCTATTGAACTGGTAGCGATCTAATGATTGTTAGCTTATTTGAAAGTGGGTAATTGTGATAGCTAATATTTTTGTATCAGTTATGACCTTTTATACTATACTATATATTATTCGTATTTGATGTAGACTGTGCATATCCTATTCAGTATGCCTACAGTATTGAAACTAATACTATATTAAAGTAATACTAAAGTATACATAAATAATTCCTAGTAATGCTAATAATTAAAATGTAGCTTCATTTTAAGAAACCATAATAAAAATATAACACAGGCAGAATATAACAAAAATATGCAGAGGACTCACAGTTTCATTTCCGGCAGCAGTAACCAATTCTTGTAGAGCTCGTACAGACAATGCTTGTTCAATAACAAACACACACTGTGATAGGTCTGGTGGTATATTCTGAAATACAACAAATATAAATTCTTGATGATAAAATTAGGAAGAATACGTTAGTCAACCATAAAAGTGATATTTTTGGCAATATTTGATAAAATGGTACCTAGTTTTTAGTATGTGTCTACTGTCTAATCAAAAGATATTTTGTAAAATGGATTTTTGCTTGGAAGGATATTATAATTTTCAAACATTAGTAGGTATTTGTGTGAAATGTGACTTACTTTGTCTGCAATGTTCTCCAGGAAGCAGTGCCTGTTACCAAAACCTTCAGCTGCTAGACAGACTCGTTCTCCTGTAGCAGTACACGAAAGACATACCATATCTTCCTACAAATATTATACAAAACATTAATTTAATAACATCACAAATATTTATTCTTTTAATAAATTAATTATAATATAATATTATAATTAAAGTTTAGAATCTGAAAAAGTTGTTGGAAAACCAAGCTATATACAAGTACCAAATACGTACACGTTTTATTTCAAAGCCGACTTAATTTTTCCAACGAATAATTGAAGCAACAAGGAAAATATGTCAAGAGAGAATCCAAGTAGGCTGTATGTAAACTTACCGTTCGAAGGAATGAAACATCATCCTGCTCGGAGCCCCCTTCGGCTTCTGCCATTTTGGGGGTCTAATTATCCTAAAAATTTTAAATTTACATTTTTATCAGAACATGACAATTTATCACGTTATTTGATTTTAGGATAATAATCATATCCCCAGTTTTAAATCGTTTGTTTATGCGGCAATAGGGTCACAGGTCACATCTAATATGTCAGCATGCGCGTTTGCTTCCGTCTGCTTTCAGCTTCCATTCTTGAGAAAAAAGCAGGATTGCCATATTAGAGAATTTTCCCCAAATTTGAGAGTCTTACATCTCTTGGGGAATTTTCGGGAATCAAATGTTATGAGGCATTTTTTGGAGAAAAATAAAATCGTTGCGTATTTTTGTGATATTTTATTCCATCTCTAACTACGAAGAATGTCAACTGGTACATAACAATTTTATCTTTCTGTAGCTTTTTCTGTCCCCATGCTGCTCTCATACCCACAAAACATCTACGCCAGCCTATCTCTACACCTTTATGTCAATACTAGGTTGGTAGGCATGCATCCATAGTCACACAGTAAAACAGAATAGGCTGTGAGCTGGGTCGGTTGATTTAACTATCTTTGTCTCTCGCGCGTGTTTCGGCAGAAAAAAACTAGACGATTACTCGTCTTCTTCGCGATTTTGCACGGATTTGCCGTAGATCCACGGATCTGCGATTTCCCAATCCCCAAATGGCAAATAAGTGATAGCAAATGCGCGTATCGTTCTACGTTCATGCGCAATCGTGGCTCAATTAACTAGTTCTTCTAACAAGTTTAAAAAATAGTCTCAATTCGCTGGACAAATATATAATTTTTATTTAATGCCTCCCCCCCGTGACCACCTCCTAATCAACAAGTCCAACAGGTATGGATGTGTGAGTCACCAACATTACCTCATCACCGGTCAAGCAATAAGGAAACCAAAAATGGTATGTTTTTAATTGAATATTAAATGCAAATGTCAGGTGACGAAATTTCAAGTTCAGTAATAAAATAGAAAATTAAAGAAAGGCGCTTCCAGGATAGCTGCAAAGGTGTTATAAGTTGTAATAAATAAGTCAATAGGTACTTTTTCAGGAAAATTTCGTCTCAAAAACTTGTGTGTACGCGCATAAAAGGAAAATATCCTTTTTTTCATTAACGCAAACACCTTGAGCCACTGCTGAACTTGCGATGGCTCTGATTTTTTTCTTAAATCTACCGAATTTATTATTTACAGATTTCGGTTCGGCAACACTGCTTGTCGGCGACCCCGGCGAAATTGGTTAGGATAGGAGCAGGCTGTCGTTGCTGGGGACTTATTGCACACATTTTTTTTTTATAATTCAAATATCTATAGATCTCTAAAATATGAAAAAGCAAGACGTTCCTCTGGAACGCATTTTATTGTATAAGTCTAAAAATATGTGTTGGCACTCATTGCTCTCATGCGGTAGGAAAATGGGATTTTATACCTGTTTTATTTTTAAATCAAGATATACCTACCTATAATTAAGAAAAAGCGTCTTCGTGTCATTTTTTAAGTCATTTAAAATTCGGGTAAAGCAAAGTTTCTCTATATCTATTGATGGATTCAATAAGCAATGAAAGAGAAAATGCATTTTCCACACACACACAGCAAACGTTAAGGCAACGTTTAAATTATAATCGTCCAAGAAAAAATATGAGATTGCAGGCATTCACACTTTTGTTGTTTATGAATGCAAGGAGAATGTTTTGATTGTACATTTTTTACCTGTTTCTTGAAAAATGTTCATTGAATCCACACACACAGCACTTGGGGTTTTCGTCGACACACTGAGAAATGATCTATTTATAAATGCAGCAGCACTTTCGCGGTTGTATTTTTAGGAAGCAGCAAAAATAAATTTAGAAAATCACAACACCGCGACCACTTATAGGGAACTAGGTAGGTATACATAGTTAATACTTATTCTTCTAGGTATGTATTTTGAATTATCGCCATGGGGTAGTTTTTGCAACTTACTTGTAATTGACATATTTCCTTTGTAACGGCGACATCCTGCATACGATTAAGCTACAATAATTAATATTTAGTACCTAGACTACCGATAAACTTCGTTCTAAAAAATGTTCTTATTTTATGAGACTAATAGAATATGTGGTATGTAGTATTCGGAACCCTTTTCCACTAGCGGTCTGTCGGCGATCCTGCTCTCTTCTACCGCTACACCAGCGGGCTTTGCTCCTCAGATCTCTCCTCCATGATGCCACCGTGTCGAACTTCGTACGTCCAGAACTGGCCTATATGACCGCTCCTTTGTCTAGAGATTGCGGAAGAATTTACAGCAGGAAGCTTTTCCCAGTTCTACTTACTTTAGGCAGTTCAAAAATCGTAATGCAACAAAAAACAAATAGGCTATATCAAATATTTATTGAATAACAAAGATATAAACTTATAAAATCGAAAAAACAACTTTGTTTTTATTTCACTACATTTGCGATGGAATAACACATGGGAAGTTACCTCAAAATCGTTTGTATACTTATCTATAAAATGTATGTCATCTTCAACTTAAAGGAAGAATGTAATCTTTGGTACAATTCGCATAAATGCCGTGAAAAACATGAATATCTTAAAATACGTATAATAATGAGAATTATCAATCGCAATATTCTACTCTTCCAATTTGCCCTTCAGTTTCGGGTCTTCTTTCGCTGATGTATTCTTCTCTTCCAGCAAGGACAGATCATCGTCTACAGAATCTGATTCTGAATCTATAAATTGACATTTTTGCATCATGCAGATATATATATATAATCTTGCTAGTATCATCATTGTTTTGGTGTTTTAGTTTACTACAATGTTTATAATACTAAGACTAATCTACATGGAATTTCCTCGATTTTTGGTAGAGGTCTTAGACGTAGAATAATAAATTGCATGCACACTTCGTCAATCTTACTTCCTAACATTCTTTAAGGAGTCCAAAAACCTGCAATTTTGTCATAATACGCGTTGAAACGTGTTGCGAATAACTATAACCACACTACGAAGCATTTAACTCTGTAATGATGGCAGATTATGTCAGAAAGACCAAATTACTGTTTGCCAAGCATTCTTCGCATCCACTTTTCCCGTGTTTGGCGCAAATGATCCTTTCGCAATGCTGACATTCGATGCCGTGAGCGTGACCGTGATTGGCGGGACATAATTGCCTTTGCTCGGTTTTCTCTCGATCTGCTATAGTCTGTACCTCCTTCAGAAAGTCTTGAATGATCGCAGTCGGGATGGTCAATAAAAACGAGAATCTCCCGGCAACTCGGCTGGTCACAGTCGTGAAAATGTCGTAGCCCATGAACATCGGGATCAAACCGATCGTTCCTAAATCTATTAAAGGAGATTCTTCGTATTCTATCAAACCTGTACGGGGAATATAAGTTGTGTTAAGTAAGTTTTCTATGCTGAATCTCAGAACCCTAATAGTTAACACAACTTACGTACGATCGTATGATTAGTTAGCACAATACTGTAGATATCTTTGCGATACACCCTATAGAGCGTGAAGTATATCCTCATCTGTTAACACATCCTATCAAAATTGATGAATGTTAGATTACAGGGGATGAAAACAAAAACACCAAAACCCATGTTACAAATAAATGAGCACCCATATTAGCGAATTTCAGTGTTACTTCTGATTAATCTGACTTATCATTATACAGATGCTGCTATGGAAGTTTCCGTTTCTATGAGCATTAAATGTATATCTCATATAAAAGTTAATTAAAATCATTTATAACCACATTATTTAGATTAAAAAATATACACATGAAACTTTGAAATGAAAACTTCCCTGATACTGAATAAAAAGGTAGGTGTATGCCCATAAACATGTACACATACACACATTTTATTGAATGGATGAAAATACGTACCACTGTGCACCTTTTTATACTTAGTAGCCTCAATGAAGGACAAGTATTCTTCTGAATTTATTATTTGATACCAGCTCATCAAGCAGATAAGAGCAATGAAAAATAGATTAGCTGTGATACCTGAAAAAATCACAAGCTTTAATTAAAAAAAAAGCAAAATATGTTATCACTTCCCTTCTAATGAATATGATCATTGAGTTTTCCAATGAAATTATATAAAAAATATTTCACGAATCTATTTTACTCATACTAATATTTATCTCGAATATGTCTAATTGGACCGGACTATGAACTACCGGTGGCGAATTCCCGCCAAAAATTCGAATCGCGGAGGGGCGATCGTCAATTGTTTAAAACTGAAAAGTACATCGAGTCGGGCATTTTGGCGCGTTAATATCGTTTAGCTTAATGCGAAAAATTAAAAGTGTATCATAAACTATTGACAATTTACCTAATGCTGCTGAAAGGACAGGCCAGTGGAACATTACATATCTTAAACCTGAGAACTGGGCATTAACAGAAAACTTAGCCGAATAGATTTCTATGTGACGTGTTTGAACCTCTACGAATATATCTGTGACAGGTTCCACCTAAAAATCAATTAGATCCATTTCGTAATGGAAAAAATGTTAATGGCAATGCAAATTATAATCATACCCCTTGTTCCTCATAGTCAGAGAAGAGCTCAACATGTACAGTCTGCTTTTCTTCTGCAGTACCAAACACAAAGAAAGGACTGTAAACTAGTTTATACAGGGTGTCTAATAAGAATCCTTTGTAATGCAACATTGCAGATCTGCATGAGCTAGTCAGCAATGTGCCTTCGTTCCCCATCAGTTCTACACACACCATGAACATTCCTATAATAACAATGAAAGAAATTTTTGTATCATTATCAATATTACGGTTGAAATTGATTCTCTATTGTTTACTTTCTGAACCGCCAATTTTTTCCTAGTCAATTTTTAAAACCTCACTTTATTGATGTTTTTCTTGTCTGCATCAATTACTTATATATGGTAGAGGTACGAGCCCCTTGGCACTTCAGTTGGCCCACTTCAAGATTTGTACCAAAATATGCCTTTATAAACTAAACATGACGAAACTATTTACATACTTCTAAAACAATTTATTTTCTCAAAAACATTTTAGATACACTCTAGTCGTAAAAAAATACATATTTAAAATCACTTAGACGTATAACTAATAGAGCATCTGAACAAATAAACAATGTGCGATTAAATGCGCGAAGTTAAGAAAGCAACAATTGAAAAATTACCACTGGTAACATCATCTTTATTTTTTATTACGGCTGAAATTCTTTGGGGCATAGTGTTAACCAAGTTTTGGCAAAAAGTTGGTGTAAAACAATCCCATATTTCTTGAAGCTTTAGTCTCAGTTCGGTGATTGTACGAGCAGGACGTTGTCATAGAACCTTTTTCATCTTGTGTCACAAAGTTTCAATAGGTGACAGATCTGGACTGTTAGAAACCCATTTCAAAAGTGGTACATTATTTTCTTCCATGCATTTTATAGCCTTTTTTGAGGTATGGCATGCTGCATTATCTTGTTGAAACATAAAATCTTGGCCAGATATCAAACATTCTTCCATCACTGGTAAAAGCGATTCTTCTAAAATTGCCAAATATTTGTTTGTATCCACATTTCCATCAATAAAATGAAGTTTTCCTACTTCTTTTGATGACATACTGCCCCAGACCATAATGGATGCTGGAAATTTCATTTTTCTCTTCAGACAGTCAACATGGAATGCTTCATTTTTTTGCGAATAACTCTACTGTGACAGTCACCAACGCAAACTTCGAATCGGGCTTCATCACTCCATTGTATTGCACACCATTGTTAAGGTGTCCATTGCCTATGTTCTTTAGCCCATCAAAGCCGATTTTTCTTTTGCAGTGGAGTTAATAGTGGCTTTTCTTTGGCGTATAAACAAGTTGTGTAACCTTTGGGTTTTTACTTAACTTTTTTTTATAAGAAAACTTACCTTGCCAGTGCTAAATCCCAGATTGTGGGCCTCTCTATGAGTTGCGGACCTCGTAATTCTCCTTCCAACAGCGCCACTCCACTGAGTACTTAATTGTAAATAATTGGCACGCTTGTTTTTCACGATTATTCTTCTTAATGCTCTTCAGTCAGCATATGTGATATTACTTTTTTTCACATATCGTGGCTTAATATTAACTGAACCAGTTACGTTATATCTTCAAACAATATTTCTCACACTGTACCGCGATAAGTCTAACAAAGTTGCAATTTCTGAGTTTGATTTCCCAGAATTAAAAAATTTAATTATCAGTAACCAAATTTTCTCACTAATAACCTTTCCTCGACCCAAAACTATTTTAAAAGTATTCTGACAGCTGTGATTAATAAAAACAATTGTCATGGCTTTTATT